GGCCGTGAGGCGGCTATGGACTTCACCTGAGGCGGAGGAGGCGGCGTCGCGGGCGGCGGGCGGCGGCGGAGGCGGCGGCGACGTCGGTGCAGGCGGCGGCGGCGGCGGAGGCGGCGGCGGCGGCGACGCGGGCAGCGGCGGAGGCGGCGCGGGCGGCGGTGCGGGCTGTGGCGGCGGCTGCGGCTGCGGCGGCAGGCGAGGCTGTGGCGGCGGCTGCGGCGGCAGGCGAGGCTGTGGCGGTGGGTGGTGCGGGCGCGGCGGGCGCTGTGGCGGCGGTGGCGACGGTGGCGGCGGTGGCGACGGTGGCGGCGGTGGCGGCGGGGAGATGGCGGCCGCCGCCGCCGCCAACGCTGCCTCGCGGAGGTAGGCCTCGAGATTGGTCGGGCAGAGGGTGCGGCCGGAGAGGCAGACTCCGCCGCTCGAGGCGGTGCAGATCGTTCGGCCGGGCCCCAGCGTGAAGCGGCACGGGCCGACGCCCTCGCACGTCTCAAAGCAGATGGCAGGCAACTTGCCTGGGGTGCCTGCACTGCCGGACGTCGCGGCGGAGGGTGCACGGGCGGCAGGACTGCCGGGCGGCGGAGACAGCGGCGGCAGTGGCATGGTGGCGGTGCCGGTGCGGCCGCCGCTCTTCGAGCGCAGGGTCTTTGGGTTCGACGGGTGTGCCACCTGCGAGGCGGAGGCCACACGGGTGAGAGAGTGCCGAAAAGGCCGCGATTAGGAACGGCACCAGGGCGTGCGAACGCGCCTTGACGGAGCAGGAGGCGCCCGCGACTGGCATCACGCTCGTTATCGGGTCCTTGTGCAGCTTACACAGCTCAAACGAGCCCACCATCATCAGCTCGAAGGCGACGCATTCGGCCGCGCGCTGGTCGCACCTTTGGCGGCACTGGTTGGGCGTGAGGTCCCACCGCTCATCATACGAACCCTTGTTGCCACCAGCGGTGCGGCAAGCGCCGCCGAACAGGTCGTAGTGTGACATATGTGACCTCGACTTCGTCGTCTCCTTCGTTTGGTGAAGAGGCGCTGTTCACATAAACGCACAACCCCGGGCCCGAAATCGCACAGTGACAGTCAGACATGCAACACGGCGCTGTTCACAGAAAAACACAAATCCAAGACGCACAAGCACAGACAGTCGAGAAGGGAGAGACCAGCAACGACAGTCAGAAGCCAGCGCTGGGTCCCAGGAAGGCGAATGCGATGACGGCCTCTAGTGTGAGCTCTAGCTAGTGAGCTCATACGCACGCCGGCAGATCGCGAATATACATACAGGATACAGCTAGTTAGTTAGGAGCCGACCGACCCTCGCGTCCGGTGCTCATCGGCCAGGCGGGCCGCCCGCCCACGCACCGCCTACGCGCAGCGCGTGCGCCGCAAACTCGCCCGCCGAGAGCGCCGGCCAGTCGCCATCGGCCGTCGCGAGAGGCCTGCCCGGCTGTCGCCGCGGGGCCCCCACGAACACCACGCGTCGGAGGCGGTGCCGCGCGAACTCGCGCGCAAAGTGCACGCCCCACGCCCCCGCAGCGTCGTAGCGAAGTAGGACCGCGCCTCCCCTCGCGCTACGCGCGCCGACTCCACCGCTGTTCACATAAACGCACAACCCCGGCGCTGTTCACACGCAGACGACTGCGAGTCGACGTCACGCCAAGAAGCTCCTCACGCAGCTCCCGACCCGACTGCGGAGTGCGCTCATGCATCAGGAGTCGCACACACGGTACAGCCAGCCTCTGAAAAAGTCGACCCACGGGAGGGTGTGCGAGGACAAGGGCCTCCTGCTGATCCGCTGCCTCATCCTCGTCGTCGGAGGATTTCAGGCGCCTTACCAACACACACACAAGAGAGCAACGCACACAGACAGAGCAGCGCGCGACCGGAGGCAGTCTCTCTTGCACATTAGTGGAGCGGAGTGTGGACCTTTTAGTCGTCGACTGTGATTTTTAGCGGATAGCGCTCTGTTTGCACATGCGTGTGCGCAACGGGTGCGAGCCGGCAGAGTAGCGTGTGCTATTTAGTACGCAGGACGCATTTGACGGTGGTTTCCCTTCCAGACACTCTCTCAGAGACACTCAGAGCGAATTTAAGTCGCGGGTAGTACGGCTGGCTCCCATCGGCAGCGCCCCCAGGAGAGCGAGAAAAAAACCAAGAAAAAAAGCCCCGCACCGGTGCAGTCCTCGACCGTACAGTCCACGCACTCGTCTTCACCCAAAGAGCACCGGACCACTCCAACGGCAAAGCGGAGCAACAAACGCAATGAGAAGGAGCACACCGAAGCCGAGGAGGAATGAGAATGCCACAAAGATCGGCTGCAACCTCTCGAAGAAATCGTGTGAGGGCTGCCGCTGCACGGGCTCATGCGGCTGCAGCCAATCGGGTGACACGCCCCACGCCCGCCGCAGCGTCGTAGCGAAGTAGGACCGCGCCTCCCTCGCGCTACGCGCGCCGACTCCACCGCTGTTCACATAAACGCACAACCCCGGCGCTGTTCACACGCAGTCGACTGCGAGCGCGGTAGTACGGCTGGCTCCCATCGGCAGCGCCCCCAGGAGAGCGAGAAAAAAGAAGAAGAAAAAAGCCAGCCCCGCACCGGTGCAGTCCTCGACCGTACAGTCCACGCACTCCTCTTCGACGCACATGAAGATGAAAAACGCAATGAGACCGAGCACACCGAAGCCGAGGAGGAATGAGAATGCCCCAAAGATCGGCTGCAGCCTGACAAAGATCTCGAAGGGTGTCAGGCTGCGCGCGAGCGTGTCGCGCGACGGCGCCGGTCTGCTGCCTAACGTGCGATCCCGACGACTAAAATCTGACATGGACGCGCCGCCGGCGCATTGGTCGGCTGGCACTGCGGCCGCCGGCGGAGGGACTGCGTCAGCAGTCACGATCACGCCGACCGACACCGGCAGTGCGCGGTCCACGCCCTGTGCATCCTCAACCAGCCGGCGGAACCTCGCCTCGGAGAGGCTCTTGAGCCCCGCACGAGAGACGAGACGGTCGAGGAGCGCGGGCGTGAGCTCCGCAAGCGCCGCGAGAGAGCTGCACTCTTCTTGGAGGCAGAGCTCCGCCACGCGCGCGCCGTCATTCACGCCGGCGGCTGTGAGCGTGTCGGCGAGGCCCAAATTGTAGGGCATATGTGCAAGAGGGCATATGTGTCCTCTCCTTGATCAGCAAGGGAAGAAGTGAAGAACAGGCATCTGCTACGGGTCCCAAGTTCAAATGCACGTGAATTCTCAAAATAGAAGCTCCAGCACACTGACACGACAAGGGCATGGCGCAAGAAACCGGAAAAAAAGCGCTACGGCAAATTCCCGCGCTGTGCACAGACCACAACGGCACGATGCTGGCTTTGCTGCAGGTCCCTCCCGCTCGCCCAAAGCCACCCTTGCCCCCACCTCACCGCCCCCTCCACCGCCCAGGTCGCAGAGGAGCTCTCCGAGCAGCCCACCGTCGGCCGGACCTACTCGCCGCGGGTGAAGGAGCTCTCCGAGCAGCCCACCGTCGGCAGGACCTACTCGCCGCGGGTGAAGGAGGTCGAGCACCAGGACTGTGGCGGCTCCGCCGCGGCGGCGGTGCGCCTCGCGTGGGAGGAGGGTCTGACGCTGCTCCGCTCCAACAACGGCTCTGGCTACCAGGGCGTCCTCCGGGACTCCAACACGTACGGCCTAAAGAACCCTTTCCGGGTGCAAGTCCGGCGCGGAGGGCGACGTGTCACACTCGGCCGCTTCGCCTCCGCCGAGGAGGCGGCCCTCTGCTACGCCCGCTTCCACCCGAGCCAGGCAGTGGCGGTGCCGGGAGGGCTAGGGTCCGAGCCTCCGGTCGTCCCGCCGGAAGGGGCCGAGCCGCCGGTCGCGCCCAAGCCGCCGAAGCCTCCAAAGTGGTCGCGCCAGGTTTCCGATCCGCCGTTGCCCGAGCGCGACGCGGCGACGACCGACCTGAAGCTGTGGGGCGGCGCTCACGCCGCCGGCTGGCGCGTCCGCGAGGCGTGGCCCAACGCGGTGCGTCGCCGCGCCTCTCTCCCAGCCCGCCCACGCAGAGCACCCGCCTGACACGGTCCCGCGCCCCGGCGTCCCGCAGGCGAAGCACGGGCACTGGGCGTACATCTCCCCGCCCGACTGCCCCCTCGCCGGCGCCGCGTACAGCTCGTGCGCCTCCGCCGCAGAGGCGTGGCTGAGGCGCGGCCAGCCGTCGGTGCAGAAGCCGCCGCCGCCGCCGCAGTTCACGGTGCGCGACGAGCCTTGGAGCAAGGAGGAGGACGAGAAGATCCTTGCGCTGGTGCGCACGCACGGCCGCAAGTGGCGGCTGATCGGCGCGGAGATGCCCCACCGCAGCTGCGACGCGCTCCGCAACCGGTACGACCGGCTCTCGCTCTCCGACGGCCGCAAGGCGGAGCAGCAGCAGCAGCCGGCGGCGCAGCAGCCGGTGAGGAACGCGGTGGTGGAGGCGTTCGTGTCGCCGCCGCCGGCCAACATGGCGCCGCCCCACCCGCGCAGCTTCGAGCGCGCCGCGGCCGCCGTCCTCTCGCCGCCGCAGCCCAGCACGAGCGAGCGCAAGGCCCTCCTCGACTGCCTCAACGCATCTCCCGCAACCGCTCTGCCGCCCGCGCCGCCATCCGCGCCGCCATCCGCGCCGCCGTCCGCGCCACCGCCCGCGCCGCCTCCGCCCGCACAGCCCGCCGGCCACTGGCTGCTGGCCGCCGTGGCGACGCGCCAAGCGAGCGCGAGCGAGGAGGAGGAGGGGGCAGAGGCGGCGCCGGAGGAGGAGAAGGAGAATGCGGCGCCGGAGGAGAAGCCGGCAGAGGAGAAGCCGGCGGAGGGGGAGGAGGAGGTGGGCGCTGCGCCGGAGGGACCGCCCCCCTGCAAGAAGCGGCGGGTGGCGGTCCCGGGGGAGGCCTCGTCGTCGGGCGAGCACACGCCCTCACCAAGCGCAAGGCTGCCCCCGGGCAGCCGCGGGAGCGACGGCCGCGGCGAGGCGGAACGGCGCGCGCAGCCCTTCCAGTCGCCGCCCCTCGCCGCCACCGGCTGCGGCAACAAGCGGACGAGCCGCAATCCCGACGCCCTCCCGCCGACGCCAGAGGGCGGCGGACTAGCGCCCGCGGCGGCGGCGGCGGGGCTGACGTTCTCGAGCGAGGCGGAGCGGGCGGGCTACCAGCGGCATTGCGCCCTGTGGCAGGAGCAGAGGTGCGCCTACATGTCGCACGACGCCTAGAGCGAGGAGTGCCCGCGGCGAGGGAGGAGGGGCGGGACCTGGGCCGGAGCCCACCTCCCCTGCCTGCTCTCTCCGCCCCACCCCCTTCCCGAGCACCGCTGTGTTTGCCCCGGCCTCCTCTGGCCTCCTCTGTATCGCTGGCGGGGTGCGGCGGCGGAGAGCAGCCGCAGCGCCTAGTGCGGCCCTCCACCCCGCTGCCCCCACTTTCTCTCGTACGTCGTGCCATGTCCCTTTTCTTCGTTCTGTCGTTTACGTCCTCCCGGAGTCCCGGTCCCACGCATGTCCCGGAGTCCCCTGTCTCGTGCCGCTCTCGGCCGTGTGCTGTGGCGTGCAGGCACGCACACGTTACAAAATGCGCCTGCGCTTTGGAGCACTTGGAGTGCAGTCGGTAACCGCACATCCAGGGCCGGGGAGCTAAGTCCTAAGAAGCACAGAGACCCAGCGGGCCGGATGATTGGCATCGGGCTACGGGCTAGAGAGCCCTGACCCCTAGGGGGTGCGCGGGTCGCCTTCTGTCGGTTACGTCCTCCCGGAGTCCCGGTCCCATGTCCCGGAGTCCCCTGTCTCGTGTGCTGTGTTGCCACGGTGTGTAGGCACGCACTAAAACAACAAAATGCGCCCCACGTTTTTCTTGAGGAGCTCTAGCTAGCTCGGCGGAGCGGCGGTCCCAGCCCTTCGCATTGCGCCGCTTTGCGCTGTTTTGCGCTGCTTTGAAGCGACATGCAGCCCAACGCGCGCCTCCTACGGCTTCAGGCGATGGGCTTTGAGCCTGCCGCCGCGCGGCGCGCCCTGCAGCGGACAAATGGAGACATCGAGGCTGCCGCCGCTCTGTTGGTGAGCAAAGGCGCAGAGGCAAACGGGGCGGTCCCTCTACCGCCTAGCGCCCAGCGCGCGTCTCCTCCGCCGCGGCCACCACCACCCCAGCCGCACCAGCAGCCGCAGCCGCAGCGGCCTCAGCCTCCACCACCGCCGCCGCCACCACCACCTCCTCCGCCGCAGCAGCCGCCGCCGCCGCCGCCGCCGCCGCCGCCGCCGCCGCCGCCGCCGCCGCCGCCGCCTCCACCGGAGGAGATCGCCCTGCTCGGGGAGCGTGTCGTCATCAGTGGCCTCGCCGCCCGGCCAGAGTACAACGGCCTCCGCGGCACGGTCGTTCGCAGCGCCGCCGGCGAGCGAGCTCGCGCTGTACTCCTGAGTGCGGTACTCCGGCAAGTGATGTCTCCTTCCCCGCCGTCTAGGCGACCGGCTCGTCGTCGAGTTTGAGGGCGGGCGCTCGCTCGCCGTCCGAATCGAGCACCTCATCCCGGCGGCGCGCCCCGCCAGACGCCTAGTCCCCTCCGACTCCTCCTCTCCCAGCCGTCCTCCCACACACACACCTCACCGCTCCGGTGGGCTGGGTGTCGCCACCAGCCCGACCTCGCCACCCGCGGACGCCTCAGGCGGCGCTCGAGGGAGCCGACCTGCCTCCCGCCCCCTCCGGCACACGCGCCGCCGCCGCCGCCGCCGTCCCGCCCGCCGCCGCCTCGACTCAAAGCGAGGAGGATCTGCAGCTGCGGGCGGCGATCGCAGAGTCGCTCGGCCAGAAGCCGCTGCCGCCGCCGCCGCCTCGTCAGCCGACGCCTCCCGCCGCCCGCCGCTCTCGCAGCAGCACCTCCGTGTCCGTGCTCGAGAGGCAGGCTGCGCACGAGGTGCGGGGCGGCGAGGCTGCCCGGCGGAGAGAGCCACCGCCGCCGCCGAGTCGACTCGCGGAGGCTTGCGGTGTAGGCTCGGGCGGCAGAGGTGCTCGAGCGGGTCCGCTCCTTCTGCCGCGAGTCGGGCTCCCCCTTCACGGACCCGGACTTCCCTCCTGCGGCACACGCCCTCCCCTGCCCTCCCCTGCCCTCCCCTGCCCTGCCCAGCGCTGCCCTGCCCTGCCCTCCCCTGCCCTCCCCTGCCCAGCGCTGCCGCCTCCCGCCGCACCCGTGGGTGACGCGTGGGTGGGGCTGGCTGCGATAGGCCACGTCGCTCTTCCGCGACGGCAGAGGGTGGCAGCAGGAGGGGTCGTCGGCGAACCGGCACCGCGCCGGGCTCGGCGAGAGCCCGCTCTGCCTGCGCCCCTCCCCTCCCCATCCCCTCCTTCGGCCAGCCCTCCTCTCGCCTCGCTCTGCCTGCGCCCCTCCCCTCCCCATCCCCTCCTCCGGCCAGCCCTCCTTCGGCCACCCCTCCTCTCGCCTCGCTCTGCAGGCGACCTCGTCTGGCTCCGCCCGTCTTCCCTCCTGCCTCGCCCCGAAGAGAAGCAGCTCTCGGCGGGCGGGATCGACGTCTCCTCCCTCCGCTCCCTCTTCCGCGGGATGGGCGTGGGCAGCAGCCGCGCGCACGAGGCGTGGGAGGTGGTGCGGGGCGGCGCGACGCCGCACGACATCCGGCAGGGCGCACTCGGCGACTGCTGGCTGCTCTCGGCGCTCGCGCTGCTCGCGGAGCGGCCGCGGCTGCTGGCGGCGGTCTTGCCTTCGCGCGTGGTGGACGCGTCGGGCGCGTACCAGGTGCGGCTCTGCGCGGGCGGCGAGTGGCGCACGCTCATGGTGGACGACACCTTCCCTTGCCTGCCGCTGCCGAGCCCGTTTGGAGCGCGTCGAGGGGCGCAGTCCCCGGGTGCGCGAGACAAGTCGGCGCAGCGTGCCGTGCCTTGGTCTAGGCGCGACGAGGGGCGTGCCGGCGTTTGGGTGCGCGGCGCGGCGCCAGCTCTGGGCCCGGCCCGACGCAGAGGAGAGGTAGAGCGGCGGGACGGCGTCTCTTCACGGCTGGCTGTGAACAGGTGGCCCTCATCGAGAAGGGCGCGGCCAAGCTGCACGGGAGCTACGAGGCGCTCGAGGGCGGCTCGGTGGAGGAGGCGCTGCGCACGCTGACCGGCTTCCCCACCCAGCGGCTCCACCTCGTCGCGACAGACGGCAGCTCGCGCAAGAAGGGGATGGGCGGCGGCGGCAAGGAGCGGGCGAGGGACAGCGGCGGTGAGGAGGACCCGGACGTGCAGTGGGCGCGGCTGCTCTCGTTCCACGAGGCGGGATTCCTGCTCGGCGCCTCGTGCGGCTGCGGCGACGGCGGCGAGGCGGCGGCCGCCGCCGCGGAGGCGATGGGGCTGCTCGTCGAGCACGCATACTCTGTGCTCGAGGTGCGGGCGGTGGCCGGGCCGCCGCCGCCTCCGGGCGCGCCGCGCGGGTACCGAGGCAGTGGCGCGCGGCTGCTCAAGCTGCGCAACCCGTGGGGCCGGCTCGAGTGGCGCGGGGACTGGTCGGACGACTCGCCGCTCTGGACGGCCGAGCTGCGGGCTCAGCTCGGCTTCCCCGAGGCGGGGCGCCGCCTGCCCGCCGGGCCAAAGGGGGGCGGCGACGGCGACGACGGCGTGTTTTGGATGGCGTGGGACGACTTTCGAGACTACTTTACCGCGGTGGACGTCTGCCGGGTGAGGCCCGAGTGGGCCGAGGTCCGCTTCGGGCTCTCGAAGGTGGGCCCTCTCCCCTAGTCCTCCCCTGAGCCTCCTCGGAAGGTTCGCCCCGCAGGTGCGCTCGGCAGTCTCGATCGGCGGGGCCCTGGCGGGCGCGATGGGGGGCGGGAGCGGGCCGCACCAGTCGCTGCGCGGCTTTGCGCTCGAGGTGCTCGAGACGACGGAGGCGGAGCTGTCGCTGCTGCAGCCGTCGGGCCGCGGCGGCGGCAGCGGGCGGTCGGACGCCGGACTGCTGTCGACGGACTTGCTGTTGCTGCTCGTGTCGCGGCCGGGCGGCTCGGAGGGGCCCACCCTCGGCGGCGGCGGGCTGCGGCTCGTCGAGAGCTCGGAGCGCGAGATCCGCGAGGAGGTGAGCTGCGAGGCGCTGCTCTCGCCAGGCCACTACCTCGCCCTCCCCCTCTCCCTCCGGCCGGCGCACTCCGACCTCGGCTGGCCTCGCACCGTGCTGCGGGTCGGCAGCGCAAAGCCGCTGCTCTGCGAGGAGGTTGCCGTCGCGCCGTCCGAGCTCGCCGCCGCCGTGGGCGAGTACGCACGGCGGGGCAGCCGCCACCGCGCCTTCGACGGGATGGACCTCTTCTCGCTGCAGGACGGGTGAGTCTGCCCGCTCTGCGCCGCGAGGAAGCCCACGGGAAGCGGAGGTTCACCCAGGGGGGTCCGGAGGGCTCAGGTGCGGCTGGCTCCTCTTCGCCGAGAACCGCTGCGCCGCGCTTCGCTTCACGCTCTCCCTCGACCTCGGCGACGTCTGCTCTCTCTCTCTCTCTCCCCCCCCAGACAGGTCTGTTCACGCGCGCGGCCGTGAACAGGCGAGTCGTTCAACTTGCTGGCGTCGCGCTCCTCGCTGCTCACCACGGACAGCTTGCCTCCCAAATCCGCCATGCTCGTGCAGGTGTCAACTCCGCCCCGCCAGCCCGCCACCTAAGACACTTTCCGAGTCTCTCCGCTGCGGATCCGCCCAATCCCCCGAGGCACCTCTCCGAGACTCTGCGAGCGAGCCTGACGCAGGTGCTGTCGATGGCGGGGCAGGCGGCGTGCATGATGCGCTCCCGGTTCCAGTTCTCCCAGGCGCCCGCGCTCGACGACCCGAGAGCCCCGCACTCCGAGAGAGCGCCGCCTCCGAGAGCCCGCCTCGAAGCGAGCCCGCCTCCCGGGTCGAGACGCCGCGCCGTGTGTGCAGGCGCCGGCGCTGTTTCACTCCGCGGGCGCGCACTCGCCCGAGCTCGCGGCGCCGATCCACGAGCCATGGCCTTTGGAGGGCGACAGCCGAGCAGGCGGCAGAGGGACCGGGGCCGGGGGCGGAGGCGGCGGGGGTGTGAGGGGGGGAGCTGGCGGGCTCCTTGGAGGGGTGGCGTCGATGCTACGCCGTCCCGGCAGGTAGTTTATTTTCTCTATGATATCGCTCGAGGACTTTTCATTTTTTATGATCCGCTATCCGCTATGCCCTATGCTGATACAAAGAACCCTGCACAAAGACCGCAGGGCGGGGACCTGTTCCTTTTTACCCATCTCCTAGTAGAGGTGTCCGTTTTATTTATTTGTTTATGCCCTATGCTGTGCGTCCCACGGCCGCGCCCGTCCCCCCACATAAAACTCATAAGACATTATCGCAGGTTAATATCACATCCCTCTCGTACCGGGTTCCGCGCTTCCGCGGGTTTACCGCCAGGCGCGCGGCGCAGAGAGGTAAACACTAAACTGCGTAATCCGCGTGTGTAATTGCCTGTACCGCCGCGCCGGCGCGCCGCGGACTGTATACTCAAAAGAGGACATTGCATTGGATCAAAAACGGACTCTCGCGCAGCCACACATGAGCCACGTCTCACGCGCGCGAAGGCCGAGTCGAGTTCGATTTCTCTCTCAGTGGCCTTTTTGGCACACCTTCGACCTTGTAGTAGTTGTACGAACTACAATCAGCAGATCTTCTGCATCGTCGTCTGCGAGTGCTGATTGTTGCACGGGAAGACGATGCAGCGGTCTGAGGCTCGGTACGCCTTGGCAGAGGCAGAGGACGGCTGACGCTACCCACCCTTTCTGTCTGTGTGCTCTGTGAACTGGGGCTTGCTCGCCTTGATGGCGGGCAGCGCCTCAAATCTGGCGCAGAACGCCTTGAGGGTGGGGAAGCCCTCGAGGCAGCTAGGCACCATGAGCGCGTTCTGATCAAGCAGCTCGTACCTGTGGCCGGCGCCGAGCCTGTGTCACCTTCGCAGAGCCTATGTTCGGTCTGCTACTCACCGCACATGACAAAGTCGCACGCAGTCAGCTCGCCGCCAGCAAACCACACACGATCGCCGAGAAAGCTCGAGTACCGCTGCAGGTGCGTGCGTAGAGCAGCAGCGTAGGCTGGCACCGCATCCTCGAACTTGCCGCTACGGCCGTAGGCCAGCCCGACCGTCCGGTTGCGCAAGTCCATCCCCTCCTGCGGTGGCACACGTTGGACTGACACAATCACGGATCCGTTCGGAGCCCTCGTGGACGCACCTCCAGCATGATGTCGCACCGCGCCGCTTCGGTGGCCGTCGTGCCGAGGAGGGAATGCCTATGTCGAAGCCGTTATGTTTCATGACAAGGGCGTGACCTTCAATTGAGAAATGGTGTCTGTTGCCGCCGCGCAACGTGGCGGACGATCGCATTGCTCTGTGTCACTGTGATGTCGCCGTCGATGAGGAACGGGAGATTCGGAAACGGGTAGTCGCCGAGGACAGTGTCCTTGACGTCAGTCCAGCAGGTCTTGTCAAAGTCTGGGGCGCCTCCCTGTTCGAAGCGCTTCTCCTCGTACGGGATGCTGGAGTATTCGAGGAGCATGCGGATGGGTTGCGCAAGCCCGCGGATCGCCCAGTAGCCGAGCACCACTGGTTTGCTGGCAATCGACATAGCTCGGCCTGAACCGCTCGGACACGACGACACCGACGTACTCTTCCTCTCTCTCTCTCGGTCCGATGACTCCCGATTGTACGTACTTTTAGCTTACTGGGAGAAAAGAGAGAGGGGGTTGTGTTCTCTAGGCCCCTAAGGGCCCTACGCGCGGCGTGAGAGCTCGATTGTACGCGATAGATAGGTCCGACGATAGAACGAACGCACGAAGATGTTAAGAAGACTTTTCTTTCTTCATTTATTTGTTAGAGTTTGCGGTCCTGTGTTAGTGCCATCCCAGTGTTGTGCGAGGGACTAACATAGAATTTTGCGAATCGTAAAATCTCTTGCGTTTCGGCGGTAGTGATCTGATCACGCGAATACCACGTTCGGAGCGCTCCTCATCGCAAACCCCGTGAGCAGTCCTCCTCCGGGATTGTACGTAAGAGCTATCCACTGAAATTCTTTTTCGCACACAGGGCGAGAGAGAGCCATGGACTGCCGCAACGCAGAGGACTTGCTCGAGCGCCTCGCCGACTCGGAGGACACGTTTGCGCACGCGGGATCGAGCACCAAGCAGGACGAACGGGTCAACGACGGCAGCAACTACGCGGGGTGCGCTGCCGTTGGCGACCCGTTAGCCAGCGTCGCCGCACCCGCTGCTCCTGGCCCCGACTCACAGCGATGCTTTTCACATGCCGCGCTGACCAGCGCCCAGTTCCCCTACGCTGCAGGCTGATGCGACTCGGCGACTATAAAGACAAGCGCGCCAAGATGGCAGAGACGCACGACCCAAAGGCGAATCAGCTGGCTGCCGTCGCCGCGGCACGCGCCAAAGTCACCGCAGACCGTGACGCGGCGGATCGGGCCGCGCAGGAGCGAGAGGAGCGAGAGGCGGCGCGGCGGGACAAGCTAAAACGTACACTCACCACCGGCGCGGAGGGCGGCGGGGTCGCAGCAGCAGATGGCGACGCGGGCGCGGGCGACACGAAGCCCGCGGCGACGAAAAAGAAGAAGAAGAAGGCTTCCGCCCCGGCGCTGTCCTTTGACGCGGAGGAGGAGGGCTGACGGAACACGTAGTCCACTCGCTCGGAGGTCCAGAGCTCGCTACAAAGTGAAAAGATTTAAAACCCCTCCTCTGAGCTCTGTCACGGCACAGCACACTCGCAGATGCATGCACATGTACATGTACATGTTGTGCATGTGCATGTGCGCATGCACATGCGCATGCACATGTGGAGAGACTACAGGAAGGCGAACTGTACCGAATTCATTAACCCCCCCCCCCCACCCCACCCCACCCCCCCTTGAACACACCACGATTGAGGGATCCCGTGCCATGCGGAATCGACCTATCCCAGTGCTCAGGTAGGTGGAGGTAGAAAGGTGAAGAACAGTCAGGCTCGGACTGGACACCAGCGCGGTATGGGTGGACGCTAGACAGATGATGACGACACGCACAAGCGACACACAGACACAAAACAGGCTCACAAGACACACAGCCAGCTGGCTGCCACACACCCTGAGTTGGCGTACACATAACTCAGGGCCACATCCCCCCTGTCGCCCCCCCCGCACTCCAAGGTGCCAAAGGAACAAACAAGGGCACAACAACACAACAGACGACAGGAGGTAACATGTGAGTTTAGAGCAGGCTTGCTCCGCCTCTAGCAATCTCGCCGACCGCGAGGCCGGACAGACAGGACCGTGTGTGGGGTCATGTGAGGTGTCTATGGACGCCCAGGCGAAGAGAGCCAGAAAGAAAGAAAGAAAACGACAACCCAAGGGAGGATGGGAGGACGGCACGCCGCCACCACACAGGGATCTTAAGGAGAGGGGTGTGATGCGCTAGCCGTCAAGAGAGCCACACACGCAGCGGTTTATCGCAGACTATAGTCGAGCGCGTCGGAGAGGTGTTTCGACACCGAGTGTTTGAACGTTTCTTCGCAGAAGAAACGTCGAGAGAAAAAATCTCTCGCCGGTGTTCACAGAGCTCTGTGAACACCGGCTACTCGGCCTTAGCCGCCGGTACGTCAACCGTGCGATAGCCAAGTATCGCACTGTTGGGTCCCGATGGTGTCCCATCACAAATTCGTGCTGTCGACAGATCATGTCCCTTGGTCGACTGCACCCGCCTTTGGACGGTTCTCCGACATGCTTAGATGAGTCTTTTTGTCTTTTTTTGGCTCGCCTGGCCTTCACCAGTGCGAACATATTCTTGCTCGTAGGAGCCGCTCGTCTTTCGTCCGAGCAAACGTGCGCCCGATCGCCCCATTAAGCACGTGCGAAGGGTATCCGAGCGCCGTAAACTCCCTGAGCTTGCTCGTCACGCTGAGTGCGAATCCCTCGTCATCGCTTGCCATCGCGACCACCTTGAGCAGGCATCCAACCACGATGCCCGCCTTCATTTTAGCGCATGTGAAGCTATCCCAACGATGGTAGCGCCACACTCGCGGTGCCGTCTCGCAGCCCTCATTAACGTTCTTGAGTCTCGTCCGGAAACTTCCGCTTGGGTCGAGCTCAAGAGTCGTTTCCAAAAAATGGGTGCTCTCGGCGGCTTCCAGCTTCAACGGGGCCCAGTAGCACTCCGAACGGCGGAAATCTTCCCGGAAACGATCAACATCCCACGTGCTATCGTCCTTCGCAGTCACCGTGATCACATCGTCCATGTAGCGCTTCATACGGAAACGCGCTTTCGCATCATCGTCGAGTGTTTGCATGAACTCGCGATTTGTTGTCGGCGCCACCCGGGTGAGCGCGCGGCGCCGCTCACGGCTCAGGCGCACTTGCCGCGCCGACACGCTTGGCTGCCCGGCCCCAGCAGCTCTCCCAGCAGCTCTCCTCGCATGCCCGACGTCGGGCTGATTCTAGCGAGCGTCGCCCTCGTGGGGCTCTCCGCCTGCTTCTCCGGTCTGACGCTCGGTCTCCTCTCGCTCTCGCTCGAGTCGCTCGAGCTCATCGTCTCTGGAGGCTCGGCGCGGGAGGCGGCGTGGGCGCGCAAGATCTACCCAATGCGGCGGCACGGCAACCTCCTGCTGTGCACGCTGCTGCTCGGCAACACCCTCGTCAACGTCCTGATCTCGATCTTCTCCGCGCAGTTCCTCAGCCCCGGCCTCGGCGCCATCATGGCTTCGCTCGTCATCGTCGTCTTCGGAGAGATCATCCCGCAGTCTGTCTGCTCGCGGCACGGGCTGCGGATCGGCGCCGCCTCGCGGCCGCTGGTGGTGCCGCTCATGTTTGCCTTTTTGCCCGTCACCTGGCCCATTGCGCGCCTGCTCGACTTTGCGCTCGGCAGCGAGATGCGGACGATGTACAACAAGCGGCAGCTCGACCGGCTGCTCGACATCAACGCGGCGGCGGTCGACATCAGCACGGAGAGCTGCAATCTCCTCGCGGCGGCTGTCGGCCGACGAGTGACGCGTGCGCTGCTGACTGCGTTAGGACGACCGCAAGCTGCTCTCGTCGGCGCTCGCCTTTTCCGAGAAGCGGGTCGACTCGATCATGACGCCGCTCCACGACGCCTTTATGCTCCAGCTATCCGACAAGGCCACAGCCATCGCCGCTGCTGCTGCCCTCACCGCTGCTGCCCTCGCCGCCGCCACTGCCCTCACCGCCCCTGCCCGCACCGCCTCTGCCCTCGCCGCTCCACTCGCCCGCCGCCGCCTGACAGCTCACCTTCGACGTGATGCGAGCCGTCTACGAGTCGGGCTTCACGCGCGTGCCCGTGTACCACGTCCGCCGATCGACCGTCGTCGGCCTCGTCTTCACCAAGGTGCGCCTCCTCTCGTGTCCTCACACCTGCCTGCTCTCCCCCCCCTCCCTCACCCGCAGCCCCACACCTGCCTCTGCTCAGGACCTGATCCTCGTCGACCCCCACGACCAGATCCCGGCCACCCCCCCCCTCCCCCCCCCTCCCCCCCCCTTTCCCCTTCCCCCCCAGCCCGGCACCCCGGCTCGGCCTCTCCTCACGCCTCTCCGCCGGCCATGAGCAGGTCGCCGCGCTGCTCGCCCTCCTGCTAGATATTGCACATGAGGATACGAGGATGTGATATTCGATTCTATGAGCAGGTCGCCGCGCTGCTCGCCCTCTGCGCGCGGCCGCAGCAGCTGCACGCCTCCCTCGCGTCGACGCGGCGTCGACGCGACGCTGCGGCAGGCGCATCGCCCTGAACCGTCTCCCTGACCCCCTTCCCCGCGCGTCGCACACAGGCTCGACAAGATGCTGCAGCAGGTGCAGCTCTCGCGCGCGCACATGTGGCTAGTCACGCGCTCTGCCGCCGCGCTGCCCGCCGCTGCTGGCGGCGGCGCGAACGGCGGTTGCGGCGGCGGCGCGCTGATGCCCGCGGCGCAGCCCCGGAGAGGGGTGGAGCAGGTGGCTGGCATCGTGACGATGGAGGCGTCCCTCTCTTTGGCGCTCAGGGAGAAGAAGGGCCGCGAGACTGAGCGAGGACCGCCGTGCGCAGGACATCCTCGAGGAGCTCATCCAGGACGAGATCGTCGACGAGAGCGACGTCGTCGCCGACAGCGGGAACAAGGCGCTGCAGCAGCGGACGCCGCAGCGGAGAGCGCCCTCCCCTCGAGGCGCTGCAGCGAGGTGCTTCACAGCGCCTCTTGACAGCGCCGCCGTCCGCGAGTAGGATCGAGTTCTTCGAGATGCTGCAGCGGCGGGACGGGCTTGCGCTCGGGCGGGCGCTCGGCCCGGCGGCGAAGACGGCGGACGAGGCGTGTGCGCGCTAGTCCACGCGCAGCGGGTGTGGAGAGACGCTGTCCGCAGAAGAGAGGCGGAGGGTGGGCTTCGGTCACGAGTCACTCGACACGTGACCGCGTCGAGTCCGCGTCCACCTCTCGCCTCTCGCCCTCAATCCGCCCTGCAGGTCCGCGCGCTCGTCTCGTACCTGTCCACCAACGTCTCCCTCTTCCGCCCCGCCGCCTTCTCGGGCGCCGCGCTGCGCCGGCTCGTGCAGCGCTGCCCGATCTACACCGTCTCGGCGCAGCAGGTCGCGCACGGGCACTACATCTACGTGCGGGGCGTGCCAGCCTCGTGCTGCTGCCTGCTGCTGCACGGCCGGGTGCAGGTCTGCGCCGGCAACGAGGGGCTCGTCTCAGACATCGGCGCGTGGCCGCCCTTGCCGCGATTCGGCCGCCGCGCAGGCCTCTCGCTTCACAGCCGCCGCCGTGAGTAGGGCCGTGGACGCTGCTTGCCGCCAACGCCCTCACCGAGGAGAGGCACGTCCCCGATTTCACGGCACGCGTCGCGGCGGCGGCGCGCATCTTCACCATCCCGCGCGCCGAGCTGCTCGCGGTGTGAAGGAAGGGCGGGGCATACAGGTACAGGTACAGGTCGTCACGTGCGCAGTGAGAGAACGCGTATTGGACACACGATGTGTCCACAGAGATGTGTCTACAGACAGAGATTTTTAGATTTACGACTCGAGTACGAGACTTTCGTAGCCGTGTGCATGGAGTTGAGAGTTGTGGATGTCTAGATGTTTGTTTAGTTAGTATGTAGACCTGTTTTGACGGCTTCCTTCATTTTGAGCACACCAGCGAAAGAACACATTGCACGCGGCCGGTGTGTGGACCACGCAGGAGTCTCTGGCGGAGGGGCTCGAGGCGGAGGCAGACGCGTGAGACCCCGTGACTCCGAGAGAGAGAGAGAGAGAGAGAGAGAGAGAGAGAGAGAGAGAGAGAGAGAGAGAGAGAGAGAGAGAGAGAGAGAGAGAGAGAGAGAGAGAGAGAGAGAGAGAGAGAGAGAGAGAGAGAGAGAGACCGACACACTCCCGTCTCCCGTCAAAACCTCAGCCGCCACGGCCCGGTAAGCGAGGACGAGCCGGCGTCTTCGGGCCACTCGGCCGCCCCGCCCGACGCGCCGGCCTCTCGCCCGGGCCAGCGGGGGGTGAGGCTGCCCGGCGAGCGGAGCCAGCGCGGCGTGAGGCGCGTCGCCTTTCGCAGGAGGAGAGGGGGCGCGGGCCGGGTGAGGGCGAGGGAGAGAAGGGAGAGAGAGAAAGAGCGACAGAGAGGGGCTGGCTGAGGGGCGCATGGTGTTGCGCTTGTGATGGTGTGGTGGGCCGAGTCTCACCTTGTCGAGCCACTCCAGCTGAGATCGTTTCGGAGACCCGTCGTCGTTTGCCGCATCAAACCCTCGCGCCGCCGCCACGCCGCCGCCCCCCTCGCTCGCCCGACGCCTATACTCACGACGGTCGCCGCAGGGTGTGAAGGGACGCCCAGCGTGTGGGCGTGCGTGGCGGGCAGCAGCCGTGCGCCACAGCAGGACGCCTCCGGCACTCGCACCCGCGAAGAGGAGGAGGAGGAGCGGCCTGCGCCACGCCTGCTGCTCTGGCGACGCGGCGGCACCACCGGCACCGGCACCGGCGGAAGGAGCGGCAGCAGGAGCGGCGGCGGCGGCAGGGGCGGCGGCGGCGGGCGCGGGCGAGCCGGCGGCGGCGGCGGCAACGGCGCGAGCAGCCGGGCGCAAAGGCCGATCCGGCTCCACCGTCCAGCCGTAAGAGTAGTGGACCTATCATGGGCACTCGCCGCCGCCTCGTTACCGCAGCCAAACAGAACAAGCGGACCGGACGCCCTTGGAACAAGAGGGCATTCTCTCGCCTTGAAGGTGATGCCGCTGCTGGAGTGGAACGCATCGTCCTCCTCAATCACCTGCGCCTCGCCCCGCTCAGCACCGCCCGGTGGGCACCAGTGGCCGAGCGAGAGGGCGCATGCGGCGGTGCGAGGACTGACGGCGGCGAGCAGGCGGGAGATGGCGAGGAGAAAGGCCACCAGAGGAGCTTCTAAGGCAGCCAAGGCACGCTCGGGTGGGTAGTAACTAGCGTTGTATCCCTCTGGAGTGAGCATGGCGTCCAGAGATGTAGAACCAGCACGCTCAACGTGCGATGCTGGGCTCGCCGGTGCAAGGCGATTCAGCACGACGAGAGCGGCGATGAGGATGCAGCACACGATGCACACGGAAGGTCCTCGACCGCGATTACTCGCGACAGGGGCAATCATCGCTGTTCCTTTGAGCGAGTCCAGAGCGAGTCCAGCTCGCGCCGTGTTGTGCACCCAGCGTGATTCGCTCGAAAAAGAATTCACATCAAGGCCGCAAGCGTCATGCCCGCCCCACCCTTCCACCCCAACGCGCCGTGCACGCCGCCGCCGCCGCCTGCTGACAGCGCGTCGGGTGGTGAAGTCTCAAAGGACGTCGTCAACGCGGCTGCGGAACGGCCGCGTGCGACTGTGGCTGAATGTTGACGGCGGGAAGGCGGACACGCTCTTCAACGCTGAGTCTCTCAGTACGGCCAAATTCCATGCACCCTGCTGATCGTCTCGTGTCGAGCACGCGCAGCGACCAGTGTCGACGCCGGCGGCGCCTCACCCGGGTGTGAGCTAGTGGTGGCCCTGAGCCTCGGGCGGAGTGCACTCCTCCTCCGCCGCCTGCCCGTCCGCCTCCTCCGCCCGCGGCGCGGCCGCCATGCGGCGGCACGAGAGGGTGGTGGATGGCGGCGGCCCGCCGTTCCGGCGGAGCGACGCGGCCGCGTGCGGCAGCGGCTCGTCCCCCATGATGTAGCCCCACATTTGCACAAGCGTAGGCGCTTCCGCCTTGCGCCGCCTCTGGTGCTCGACCACGTGCTCGAGGGCCGCAAGCAGCCGGCGCGACGCGCCGGGGTGCTCCCGCCACGCGCCCGGGAAGCCCGAGCCGAAGTTGACCAGGCAGCCGCGAGGCACGACGATGTCACCGCCGCCGGCACCCGCAGGGGCCTGCTCGCCCGCGCGCCACGGCGCGATCTTGGCATCGACCGGGCTCGGCTCCGCCCCGGGCCTCGACCCGAGGCCCGGCAGCCGCGCGTACTCAGCGCCGACAATCTCCCACGGCAGGCCGGGCTCCGCCGCGGTGGGCTCCGGCCGACAAGGGTGGCGCTCACGGTAGCGCGCCCAGTCCACAAAGACGAGGCTGCCCGGCCGGAGCTTGACTGCCCCGCCCGCGGACGCGGTCTTCTTCGGGACGTGGCTCGCTCCGCCTGCGGGGGAGGCGCGGGCGCCGCGTGTAGAGGGGGGTGGGGGGGGGGCGACGGGCTGCGCCGGGTCGGGCCGGCGGCGAACGACGGGGGCCGGGCGGAGGCTGGGCGCGGGAGCCGGCGGCGGCGCGCCTTGGCGGCGAGCGGTCGGCGCCCCGGCTTCGCTCGCGGCCGGCGGCGGCGCGGGTCGTTTGCCACCATGCCCAGCGGCCGCGCCGCCGAACGGGAGGAGGGGGGCGGGGACCTTCCGCTCCGGCGCGGGCTGCGGGTGGTGCCCCCGCCGCCTCTGACCCCGGCCGCTGCTCCGGCCCACGGTGTGCTCCCCGCGCGCAATCTGCTCCTCGACGAGCGAGGAGATGGCGTCCGGCGGAGTGCCAGGCGGGACGACGGGCGCAGCAGCCCCACCGGGACAAACTCACCCGTTCCGTCGGCCTCGCGGAGCGTCGCGACTTCGAGGGCGGCGAGGAGAGGCGACGCGTACGTCGTGTGCCTCCGGCCCTCCATGTAGAAGACGCACGGCAGAGTACCCACGGCGGCCGGTCGGCGACCCCACGCGCCTCGCGCGACATACGCCTCAAACAGATCCCAGTACACGTGGCGGACGCCGTAGAGGGCGCGAAAGACGGCCGCCGCCGCCTCGGCAAAGCTGGCGTACGTCTGACACATCTCGCGCCGCGGCGCCTGGACAACCTCAGTCAGTCGGCCCGAGCCGGAACATCGAGGCGGAGCCGACGCGCAGCACGACCGCCCTCTCCGCGCCCGACACGGACCGGTGGTGAAGGTACAGATCGCCCAGCAACCGAACCATCGGGGCTGGACGGGAGTGAGCGCCACTTTCGGATAGAGCTCTAATAATTTATTTGTTTGATTTTCCTTCGCGGCGAACCAGCCGCTACAGTTAGCCCGATGAGGTCGCTGCACATCCTTTCGCGCCGCGTCTCTGCCGCCACCACCTCACAGAGAGCCTGTCTGCGCCATTCGCGCTGCTCCCTCTCCACCTACGGCGACCTCACTGCGGCGGCCCTCTCCGAGGCCTCGTCGGAAGGCCCGTCCCTCGACATGCTCGACGCGCTCACAGAAGCGTCGCCGCCGCAGCCCGTCTCGATCAGCCAGATGATGCTCGCCTCGGGGCGCACCTCGCCCGCCGTCCGACTCGCCAACGCTCAGTTCCTCCGGCGAGAGCTGGCCTCGCGCCGCGCCCACGTGCTCTCTCTGCTCCGCACCATGCCGCCGCCGCTCGCGTCGCAGCCGGCAGTCGCCCGGCTCTGCGTGCTGAACTGGCAGAGGCTCAAGGGTCTCCTCACTCTGCCCGAATTGAGCACCGCCGACGACGAGAAGGCCTTTGCGGCTGCGATGCTGGACCACTCTGCTGCGATTGACGGCGAGAGCCGCCGCTGGCCGCACCTCTCTCCCGAGGAGGAGGCGCTGTGCGTGGACGCGCTGGGGACGCTGCAGCGAGAGCCGCACCTGGCCGTCGACAAGCAGCTCGACGCCATCTTCCTCGCTCGCATTGGGCTGCGGGTGCTGCACGAGCACTACATTCGAGCCGTGCAGCCGCCGAGGCAAGGATACGCCGGCGCCCGTCTGCTAGCCGAGAGGTGCAGCCGAGGCAAATGCACGCCGACCCCGCCCCGCGACTGTGTAGGCGCCATCCAGCTGGAGTGCTCCCCAGTCGCGGTCTGCGAGGAGGCGGCGGCGGCCACGCGCCAGCAGCTGCAGCAGAGGTACGGCGCCGCTCCGCCCGTCGAGGTGGTTGGCGAGCGAGGCCACTCCTTCGCCTTTGTGCCGGGGCACGTGCGGGCGGTGGTCGGTGCGCCTTGCGGCGAGCGGCGCGCGGCGCTGGCGAGGAGCGGCGCCGCCTCAGACGACTCGTGGACGCAAACAGGCGCGCTGCTCTTCAACTCGAGCGTGGCGACGCTGCGGCACGCGGCGCTGGCGGCGGGCGGAGGGCAGCACCAGCAGTACAGCTTCAGCGGCGACGAGCGGCTGCCTGCGGTGCGCGTCATCGTGGCGGGCGGCGACGACCTCGTCCAGGCGCAGCGCTGCTCGACCGGGCGAGGCCCTACCCTGACCCCGGCCCTGACCCTCCCCCTGGCCCTACCGTCGGCCAGGTCAAGCTTCTCGACCAGGCGAGGCCACCGGCCGAGATGCCAACCTGCGGACTGCTGCACCTCGACTGCACCTCGGCCGCACCTCGGCCGCACCTCCGCCGCACCTCGACTGCACCTCGGCCGCACCTCGGCCGCACCTCGGCCGCACCTCGGCCGCACCTCGGCCGCACCTCAGTCGCACCCCTTTGCTGCTCCCCCTCCAGGCGGGCGGCATCCGCCGCTCCTCTCTCTCCAACGTGTGGTCGTACCGCGCGCTCGACTCGGCGTGGTGGAGGCCCGCCGACGGCCTCTCCCTCCCCCTCACCCGCCTCTTCTGCCAGTACTTTGGCGGCTCGCTCGCGCTGGCGACCGCCCGAGAGCGGTGGCGCGCCGACCGCCGAGCAGGCTGTCACGCCGCGCATGCCCGTGAGCAGGTGCCCGTCGAGGGGGTGGGCACCGACTGCTACGTCGCTTTCAACCGGCGCGCGGAGGACAACGTCGAGGTGATCCTGCCGCGCGCACGCTTGCGCTCCAGCACGGGCGGCATCTTCGACGCGCAGGAGCGCCGCGCGTGAGTGAGGCTGAGCGGGGGGGGGAGAGCGGAGAGCCGGCACTTGGAGCACAATGCACTTGGAGTTCTGCTTGGAGTCCAATATACATGTCTCAATGAAATCTAGAAGAGATCGAAGTTCACTGAAATATACCTTCTCGGATCTCGCAGCTGCGAGACGAGCTTTCTCGGAGCGACAGCCTCAAAGTAAAAAGGGCGGATGGGTGGGGGCACACATGGGTCGGGGTGGGGGGAGGGGGGCGATCGCCGGCGAGCCCCACAGCGCGCCCCAAGAACGGTGGGGTGCCCTCGACCGCGCGTCCGAGTCACTTGGACGGGCGAGCGAGCGGCACATGGCGTGACACAGACAAAGAGATCGAAGTCTGGCGAAAAGAAATCGTCGAATTCTGGCGAAAAAGACATCCACATCGAAGATTCGAAGTCGCAAAAGTATATTTGCGACGAGGCCCCGTCGCAGCCCCGTCGTTGCGATAAGTGCCAAAGTGCGACGAAGCGCCTGATCGTCAAGACGCAAAAGCTGACGTCAGCTAGTGAGTGTGTGTGTTTGTGTCTCTCTCGTCCACCCACCGTCCCCTTTCTCCTCCTATCTGTCTAGTGTGTGCCTACTGGGGGGAGCAGACGGCTTCATACGAAACTGCCCCCACAGGCGTCTTGACGGCCTCAAAAATTCTTCATCAAAGAGGTAGGTAGGAGAAAGGTGATCAAAGAGGCAAAGAGAAAAAGAAAGATCTCGCCGTTGGTCGGCCTCCTTGTGCCGACAACCACCAACCTTACAACAGCTAATGTATGTATATGGCACGCGGCGTCGCTTTCGCGTGCGTAGCTTCGTGCGCCTTCGCCGCACCGGTCCACCGCGAGCTCCTCCTCGACAGCGTGCTCGATTCGGTGGGTCATGTCGCCGGCACAGCGAATTCTCTGGTCTCGGCGACGGCAGAGAGCGTAGCCACGGGTAGCAGCTCATGGCTGCAATGGGGTCGGACCGACGAAGAATCGGAGCCTTATGTATCCACGTACACCACTGATAACAGCTCCCAGCCCAAGCCGGAGCTGCTTTGGTCGGAGAAGGTGATGCTGATGGACGGCGTTGGCTATCACGAGCACAGCCACACTGCAAAGGATGGGTACTACATCGGCAACATCCCGCCAATCAAGCGGCTCGGCCTCCCCTCCCTGAATCTACACGACGCCTCGCAAGGGGTCAGGACGCACCACGCCGCCATGATTGCGCAGGTGACGTCCTGGCCCTGCGCTCTTGCCGCGGGAGGCACCTGGGACCCCGCCCTCGTCCGCCGCTGGGGAGTGGCGCTCGGTTACGAGTTCCTCGCCAAGGGAGTCAACGTGGCGCTCGCTCCCGGAGTCAACGTCGCACGGGTTGCGCGCGGCGGGCGCAACGCCGAGTACCTCGGCGGCGAGTCTGCACACCTCGCATCGAGGATGGCGGCGACGTACATAGAGGGCATGCAATCGACGGGCGTGCGCGCGACGGTCAAGCACTTTGGCTTCAATAACCAGGAGACGAACCGCAACTATTATAATGCGCGCGTGGACGAGCGCACCGCCTTCGAGGTCTACTACCCGCCCTTCGAGGCCGCCTTCAAGGCGGGCGTCGCCGCCGTCATGTGCGCGTACAATCTGGTCAACGGCACCTACGCGTGCGGCTCAAAGGAGCTGCTCACCCGCGACCTGCGGGAGCGACTCGGCTTCGACGGCTTCGTCATGTCGGACTGGTGGGCAGTCCACGGTTTCGGCTACCAGAACGCGGGGCTCGACATGCTCCTGCCCGGCAACCGGATGCTGACGGACGGCAGCCACGACTTCTTCTCGCCCGACAACCTCGCAAAGACGTCGGAGCCAGGCGTGGTCGACACCGCGGCGGACCGCGTGCTGGCCGAGGTGCTGCGGGCGGTGCCCACCTGCACTCCGCCGTACTGCGGGCAGGAGATGCTGCGCGCCCGCGCCACCTCGGACGAGCACGTCGCCCTCTCCCGCCAGATCGCCACCGAGTCGGTCGCCCTGCTCAAGAACGGGGGCCGCCTGCTGCCCCTGCAGAGCGGGAGTCGCGTCGCGCTCGTCGGCTCCGCGTGCGACGCGCGCAACGACATCGATGCGATGCTGCGGCAGTGGAACCTCGCAAACTATTACACGATCGGCGGCTCGGGCCGGACCATCCCGCTCTCGCCCGCCTCGGTCGCCGCCGGCCTGCGGGCCGCGTGGGAGAAGCGGGTGGAGTACGCGGGCGAGGGCCCCTTCCACCTGCCCCTCGACCCGGCGCCGCCCGCCGTCGAGGTGGTGAACGGCGACCACGACGACAACGTCGACCTGGCCGTGGCGGCGATGGAGCGCGCCGACGTCGCCATCGTCTGCGGCGCGACCACGGCGGCCGAGAGCGAGGACCGCCCCTCGCTGCTGCTCGACCAGAGCGGCTTTATTGGCGAGGTGCTCGCCAGGGCGACGATCCCGACGGTGCTCGTGGCGATGACGCCCGGCGCCGTGCTGCTGCCCTTTGCGGCGAATGCGACCGCCATCGTGCACACGTTCCTCGCGGGCCAGGAGACGGGGCACGCGATCGCAGACGTGCTGCTCGGGCGCGAGAACCCGTCGGGCAAGCTGCCCGTCACCATCCCGCTCTCCGAGGAGCAGACGGTGCTGCCGTGCCAGCCGGTGGAAGGCGTGCACATCAGCAGCGTGGCGGGACTGTGGACGCAGGGCGGCGGTGGCGGGTACGGCGTCCACTACGACTGCGACTACACCGAGTCGCTCCACGTGGGCTACCTCGGCCTCCACGACGAGCCGGTCGGCTTCCCGTTTGGGCACGGCCTCTCGTACACCTCCTTTGGCTACGAGTGGGCGGAGGAGCCGCCGGCCGCCTTCCCGCCGGGGGCGGGGGGCCGTCTCGAGTTAGCGGTCCGCATCTCGGCGGAGGAGGGGCCAGCCTCGGGCGGACGGGAGGTGGTTCAGCTCTACCTCTCCTTCCCGGAGGGCTCGGGCGAGCCCCGCAGGCAGCTCAAGGGCTTCGTCAAGACGGAGAGCCTCGCGCCCGGCGAGGGAGTCGCCGTGGCGCTGCAGCTCACGTGCCGCGACCTCTCGATCTGGAGCGTGGAGGAGACGGCGTGGGTGGCGGTCCCCGGCGCCTTCCTCGTCGAGGTTGGCTCGTCGTCGCGCGACCTGCGCCTCGAGGCGACCTTCACGCTGGCCGCGACGGTCTGCTCCTCGAGCGACTCGACCGGCCCGACCGCCCCGACCGGCACAACCGAGGGCGGCGTGGCGGACCCCGAGGAGTGAGGGTCCGGGCGACTCGGGGTCTCCACGAGTCGGATCTATTCGAGCTGGCGCGATGAGTATCGCCAGCTCTGTCTGCATGCGGCATGGCTGAGTGGGAGGGAGCGGGGCGCGCGTGCCGAGCGGCCGCGCTGCAGAGGCGTGCATGGGCTAAGAGCGAGCGAGGTGTACTGCATGTTGTACATATGTATGTGGAAGGCGAACACGCCTCGATGGTGCTAAAAAGAATTCTAACACGCCGAGTCCCTCTCTCCTCTTTACCTGGCGAGTAGAGGCACACGCAATCTCTCTCGAGGTCTCTTGGAGCAGAGCTCGCCCCGGGCCGGCCCGAGTCCTCCTGGGTGGGCGGGGCCTCTACTCGCCAGCCTCTTCGTGCGCCAGCGGCGAAAAGAACGAAAGTGGCCCGCATCGACCAATGGCGCTGCGGACCGACGTCACGTTCAGGCTTGCCGAAGGCTCCTCGTTCCGCCCGCTCGAGCCGGTCGGCAAGGCCGCCTCCTCTCTCGGCATGCGCGTCACCAAGGGGCGAAACTGGAGCCTCCTCTGGTCGTGGAGATCCCCATGGACCGACGCGGTGGCTCATTCCTCCTGCACCGCGCTTCAAGCCGGCAACTCTCCCACCTTGGTCAGTCCGTCGCGAATAGGTGACTGCTCCTGCCCGCGCCAAGCTTACGCTGAAGAGGAGCCGCTGACACCTCCCGCTGTAAACAGGCGCTCGTGCGGCCGCTACGCGGCTCTCGCGCCGGCGCAGGCCCGATTGTCAACCACGTGGGAGGGCTCAACGAGCTCGCGTACAAGTCCAAGCTGGCGGTCTTCGCCGCCTCGCTCGCCGCCGCCCACCCGTCCACCTTTGAGGGCGTTGCGCCGGAGACCTACATCCTTCCCGACCAGCTGGGAGCGCTCGCCCGGCGGCTGAAGAGCGAAGGCGCTGCCGACGCGCACGGATGGCCGCGCTGGCTCTCAAAGTCGGTCAAGCACCGCGGCGTGCGCGTGCTCCCCTCTAACGCCAGCGAGGACTACCTCCGCTCTCTCAACGCTGCGCTCGTCCAGCGGCGCGTGAAGCCGCTCCTCCTCCGCTCGGTGCCGCGCGTCTTTGACCTCGGGCTGTGCGTCCTCGTAGACGCCTCTGACACCCCCTCCACCACACGCCCTCGCCCCACCCCGGGAAGCATCGCCTCTCGCGCCGCGGGACTACCTGCGCCCTGCACGCCGCACTCGCGTCCCGCCAGGTATGTCCTCCTCTCTTCGGTGCGACCCTAACCCACACCCTAACCCTTACCCTTACCCTTACCCTTACCCAGGTACGTCCTCCTCTCCTCGGTGAGGCCTCTCCGCGCCTACCTCTTCGAGGAGGCGCTCGTCTAACCCATACCCCAACCCCAACCCCAACCCCAACCCCAACCCTTACCCTAACTTCCTCTTCGAGGCGCTCGTCCGCTTCGGCAGCGCCGAGTACCCCGCCTCGCCCGCCGGCTTCGCGCGGCAGGAGAGCTTTGTCATCGACGACTACTCGCCCGTATGGAAGCTGCCCGCCTTCGCCGCAGACGTGCGCGCGTGCGGCGAGTCCGCGGCTTGCGCGCTGAGGCGCAGGCTGCGCGAGGAGGGGCACGACCCGCGCGCCCTCTGGGCCCGCATGCGGCGCACGATCCGCGGCCTCCTCTCCGCGGCTCGCCCGTCGGTCGAGGGTGCGCTGAGGCGGCACGGCGTGCGGGCGGGCGCGACCTTCGAGCTGCTCCGCTTCGACTTCATGGTCGACCGGCGGGGCACGCCGTTGCTGACCGAGGTCAACATCTCGCCCAACCTCATCGGCAAGACGCACCAGGACAGCGCCGTCAAGCAGAGGCTGCTCACGGCCGTCCTCTCCGTCGCCACCCTCCGGCTGCGCCCCCACCCGCCGGCGGCGGCGCTCGAGTGCCGCGGCGGCTGCTGCTCGCTGCCGGGCGCGTGCGGCGCGGCAGGCATCCGGCCGCTCGAGTGCCCCCGAGATGACCCGAGATGATCCGAGATGCCCCGAGATTAGGCATCCGGCCGCTCGAGTGCCTCACAAGCGCCGACCTAGACGCCGTCGCCCTCGCGGAAGCAGAGGACGGCGCCGCTGCCGCCTCGGGGCTCGAGCGAGTGCTGCCGCCGAGCGACGCCGCCGCGCGGAAGGAGGCGGCTGCGGCTGTAGGGGGGCGAGGGGGGCACACTCGCTGGGCCTCTCCCACACGGCCGACCGTCACTTCTTAGGTGCTGCAGCTCGTCGCCGCTGCGGCACGGGAGGACGCGCTGGCGGGGTGCCTCGCTGCGGCAGAGGAGGGGAGGACGGAGGAGGGCGGGCGGCCGAGGCGCGGGCCGCCGCGAGCGCCGAGGCGCCAGGGCGGATCGCTTGGCTCGCCGCCCTCCGGCCCATGGCCATGCTCTCGGTGCCTCGACGGCTACTCGGACTGCAGACGAGCTTGCCAGGCCTTTGGCTCCGAGTCTCGCTCTGGCACATGCGCGTACCCGGACAGTACCGATGTGGCGCACTGCTGTGATTGCCGCCGCAGCTCGTCGCTGTGGGGCCGCATGCTGTGGGGATGAGGTCCAGGCGATACGCCAGAAATATGCGCATGACACAATACACACACGCACAAAACATCTCAGAATCCGGAACGAAGACCCGCGCCTATTTGCGTCCACGCTGGTTACGTGGACACCCGCTGAGCTGGTGTGCTGCGGCTTGCTGCGGCGCCACGCATGCCCCTATAGCCCTTGCCTCATACGTGATATATGATGTGTACACCCGGTTTGACGGCTGTCGGTGTTGCTCTCCAGAGAGTCCGTGATTACCTGATGCTACGCAGTAAACCACAGACTATGTCGCCCCTTCAGATGCGGCCGCGAAAGAGGCACAATCAAAACGACCGCCCGGCAAATCTCCAGTACGGCAAGGTCTGCCACGCCCCCTGCGGAAGTGAGCTCAGCTGTGGCGGAGATGGCACGCAGTCTGACGCGCGTCGGCAGGGGAGCGGTGGCGCCGGAGGCTGTGATAGCCGCCGAGGAGGTGCCGGAGGCTGTGAGAGACATCGTGCGGGTGCTCGGGGCTGTGGCACCGCCAGAGGTGGCGACTGCTTGGCAGACTGAACAGAGCTGCGCCAGAGCAGCACAAGAGCTCCCAACACAAGAAGGGCGGACATCCGTGCGCAGAGGACCGCGGGTGTGACGCCCAGCGAGACCAGGGCGGACAGCGCCGTGAGCGTGTGCATTATTGGGGACGTGCCGGAAAAGTTTTGGGGGGGCGGGGGCGCGTAAACGCCTCAATTCGCAAAAAGGGGCGCGGGCTGTGAATGCGAGCTTGTGTTGGGCTTCGAGACGTTAGATAGCACGACACACGCACCTTCTTAAAATCGTATGTTCGTACAAAAATCGCTGTGTGTGTCGCCGAGCGCCTTTCTTTGTTTTATTTTGGGAGAGAGAGTTTGTTTTGTCAGTGTATGTAGCTCTTACTTTGTTATTTTGGTGTTGCTGTGTTGGTGTATTGTTTTGGTGTATGCCAGTGCGCGCCAGTCACGTGCCCAATGTTGTGCGAGCTAGAAAAGTGTAGTGCGAGTCGAATAATAAATAGAGCAGCATCTCCAGGAGATGGGCGACGCACGAACACAGAGGCAGAGCGAGTCTAGCGGCGGCTTCTTTCGGGTGTGAAAAATCTCTTCGCCGAAGTGGTGGGGGCGACGGCTTACCCTACCCTAGCCCCCACCTAGCCGAAGGTTGTGAACCTAGCCCTTCAAAAGTGTTGTGCGACATGCTCTAATTTCTCTTTTTACTTAATAAATTAATTCATGCGCGCGGCACATTCATCGAGTCGCGCGGCCCGACTCGTGTGGCTCCTGCTGCCAGAGCTGGCGATCGGCCTCGCCGCACGTCCCAAGTTGACCAGCGCGCGGGAGGGCGGCAGCCTGGCACCGCCGCCGCGCGAGGCATCGCCGCCCCCGTGCAGTGCCCGCGACGTGGTGGTGCGCGTCTTCGACATTGGCACTCCAGGGCTGTGCAAGACGCTCTCGCTGATCACGCAGAAGGATGTGCTCTGGTTTCCAAAGATGACCGTCTCGCTCGGCGGCCGCACGTGGTCGTACGACGGCGAGGTTGAGCGGACTGTCCCGCAGATAGTCGAGAATGCCGCAGGAGGTCCTCCGCTTCTCACTCTCAACCTGGGGCCGGCGGAGCTGAGCGACGGCGAGATAGATGCGCTTCTCGACGAGATGGGCTCCACCGACTACACGCCCGCGGAGTACGACTTCTTTTACCGCAACTGCAACCATTTTTGCACTGACCTTGCGGATCGGCTCGTGCAGCGCGGCGGCGGGGGCGGCACACCCCTGCCGCGGGAGTTCATCGAGGTGCGCCCTTGCGCTAGCCTCGTCTCGCCACAGCTCGCCCCTTACCACACCCTCACCGTGCCTCAGGATGCCGTGCTAGCCGAGTCGGAGTCGCTCCTCGTCCGGATGCCCGGAGCACAGCAGCAGCTCACGCGCTCGGTAACGAGACAGGTGCAGCGGGTCATCGTCGCGGCGTGGAGGACGCAGTGGAAGCGCGCGCTCGCCGAATACGAGGAGCAAGAAGAGGAGGCGCAGCGCCGTGAGGCGGCGGCATGATCTCACGCACCCAAAGCCCGCATATTTTTTCTTTTTACAAGAGCCGCTGGGGGTGGGGCCCTGGCCCCTGGCTCCTGGGCAAGTAAGAAGTATATTTGTTCTTTTTTCCGCGCATGATGGCGTGTCTACGACGGGGCGCGATCGGTCCCGTATTTCTCACAATAAACTCAATAGTCCGGTATGTGCGCGTTTGCCATGGGGCGCGAAAATGCCCTTGTTCGCTCCTTCGGTCGCGTCACAGTCCGGCCGCAATCTCCAAAAATTGGCCGCGCGGGCTGCGCGGCTGCGCGGCTGCGCAGCCTGCGGGCTGGGACTGCCCCCCGCATGCCCTCGAAGAGCGATCGTGCGTGAGAGCGTCAGCGCGTGCCACCCGCCGCTGCTCAAGCCAATCGCATCGGCAGTGACGCCGAGCAAACTCAGGTCGTGCTCGCTGTCGGGTACGGATGCCTGCGCGCTGCGCCCTGCCGATAGGTCGAAGATACCGAGACGGTGCCGATGACTGTTCACACGCGTGCAAAAATGATTGAGCCGGTTATTCCGAGGAGCTTGTCGATCTGCTTCATTGAAGCGGCCAGGGATGGTGCAAAGCTTGCGTGTGATGCTGCGAGCGCCCTAGCAGCTTCCAGCTCACCCGCGTCGAGATGATCGTGGAGCAGCTTCACAAGCCTCTGAGGTAGGGAGCGTTGCAATGCGGGGCAGCGGTACTCGCACGCCCACCGAACCGCGTTGGCCGCGGCCTCGTCGTCGAATCGACCATCGTCGAGGTTTGTCACGATCCAGCGATCGCACCAGGCTTTCAGCCCATCGACACAGAACTCATCTGCAATTTGTAGCAGCCGAATTGCAGTCTCAGGCGTCACCCGCGGCAGGCCATAGCAATAGGCGAGCAGCCCCTCCACGGTGGCGGGGTCCTTGCCTCGCATGCGAAACATCTGGTCTGCCGGAAGCTTCATGGGCCCGTACAAGCAGCGTCTGAATACCGGAGACGCAAGGGCCAGCACCGAGCGGTGTGCTGGGAGGAGAGAGCCATCGTCGAGGGCTATGACGACATCCGCCGTCTCCTCGTCGCTGCGCAGCATCTGTAGCGAGGGGGCGCCAAGTTCTGCCCCTTCCATCGGCAGCTCCCTCCCGCTATGCTTGTGCGCCCCCGTGCGGAGCGGTGACGAACCAACAACGCGAGGATCCAAGTTTGCAATCAAAACCGGTTCGCGCGATTTCTTTTTGGCGCTGACGGTTCTGGAATTCTTCTGTAGGTATATTATTCTTAGTGCCAGTGCGCGCCAGTCCCGTGCCTAGTGTCGTGCGAGCGAGTTTCTTCGTACAATTCTGGAATTCTTCTGGGCCGAGGACGCGAGGAGCCGAACGCGAGCTGGCTCTGTCGGGTATAGCCTCAGTGTACTGTTCACACTGAGCAGCCCACCTTCCTATTTGCGCAATGCAAAAACTGCTCCTCATCGCACTCTCGAGCGTCGCAGCGATTCGACTCCAGCGGACCTCGCCGCCGCCTCGCGTGCCGGGATTCGCGTGCATACCTGTGCCGATCGAGCGCCTCGTCGCCCCAGGGCAGCGTGAGATGATGCACGTCTATGATGCATCGTCGCTCGCGGTTCTGCGGCACGCGCAGGCGTACTCCAACCTCACGTACGGGCAAGTCGTCATCGACGCGGCGGCGGCGCGCGAGCGCCGCTTCGCTGTCGAGGAGATTGGCAGCCGCGTGAGGGTGGTTTCGATGGCTCCGTCGCAGCACGTGGCGCGCGACGGCACCACGTCTAGCTCTATGATGTGCGAGGTGCTCGGCATCGGTTTGCTCACCGTCGGCGAGGTGGTATGGCGCTCTTCACGGCAGGGTGCACAGCGCTCGGCTCTCAGCCTCGTCAAACCCGCGTCTGCAGGTGCTAAGCAAAATGCCATTCATGACGGTCGAGTGCGCCGAGGACGGCTGCCCGCTCAACGGCGACCGGCTGCTGGAGGAGTGGGAGCCTTTGCCGGCGATCTCCTACGCAGCGCTCGCTGCGTCGGCCGCTGAGTGCGAGCATCTCGAGTCGGTGGCGAGCTACAAGGGTCCGCTCACGCGGGGGGCGGAGGCTGATTTGCGCGAGGCTGACGCCGCGCGCGGGATCGACGGCTGCGTGTCGCAGCTGCTCGAGCTGCGCGGCTGCAGCGCGCCGAGTGAGGCGTGCCGCCTCCTGCTCGCCGCGTTTGCGGCGACGGCCCACCTGCGGGGGGAGGTGCGGCTGGAGGCGATGCGCCTGGCGGGGCGCGGCGACGCTGCGGCGGCGGTCGAGGCGGTGGCGGCGGCGCTCGATGAGGAGGCGCGGCGGAGGAGGGCGATGAAGGCGCTCGCGGGCCTCGCCGCGGGCGGCGACGCGTAGGTTGGATTGATTGGCGTGCGCCTTACTGTTCGCCTTTCGCACAGGCATGTTTCTTTCATGTGTGCGCATGATTCCAAAGAAAAAGGAGCGTTGCGACTTGGCTCTTGGGCTGTGCAGTTGGCAGCAAGGGGTGCGCCGCGGTGCGCGTTCCGCAGGAATTTGGACTTGGTGGCCCAAATTTGAAGATGAAGTGCACAACGAGCGGTGTGAGAACTTCTTAAGAAAACACCGCCCCTCGACCGTGCCGACGCCGACTCCGACGCAAGACCGACGGTGGATATACAACCTGCAGGCCAGATGACGCGCCTTGCAACCGCCGCCGCTGCCGCCGCCGCCGCCGCGGCGCTGGCCTGGCTCGCCCTCAAGCTCCGCGAGGAGGAGAAAGAGGAGCCGCCTGCCGGGACAAGAAAGTTTCCGACGCATCCATCAATCAAGCTGCCTCTGGTGGGGCAGCTGCTGAACACCTTCAAGCTGTCGACGGACAACCAGACGTATGGCCTCTCGCGATTCGGCTTTCTCGGCGGCATCGACGGCTGCAGCGAATGCGACTTCGGCTTCATCAAGTTTGCAATGGTGAGAGCCGCGTGCCCGGGTAGCGTACAAAGAGAGTGTAGCGTACAAAGAGAGGGTACCGTACAAAGAGAGAGCGAACGCCAGTTGCAGTGAGGCACTCACACGTCGCCTCGTCAGGTCTACTCGCACGAGGCCATGAAGCAGATCTACACCAACCATCCCTTCCAGAATGGCGGCATCTTCGAGGCGGTAGGATTCACGAAGGTGTACGACAACCTCCCCGGCATCGAAGAGACAAAGTACCTCTTTGGGAATGGCCTGTTCATCGCGTCGGACAACGACCGCTGGTGGCCGATTGCGCACCGGATCCTGCTCAAGCCCTTCTCGCGGCAGGGGATGATGCAGATGGTGCCGCTGATGAACGAGCAGGCGGACCTGCTGGTCGGCAAGCTGCGGAAGGACCTAGGCTCCGGTGTCGGCCCGCTGCGGATCTACGACTACACGGTCATGATGGCCGTCGAGACGCTCGGCACCTGCCTGATGGGCATGTCGTTCGAGTCCTTCTCGGGCGAGCCGGTGCACAGCTCCCGCGTCGGCAGCTGGAGGTGACATCGTCGCCACGCCGTGACCGCCTGTGGACTGTGCACAGGTGCCGTTCCTGCAGCACCTCAAGAACTGGCTCGACATCAACGCGGACATGGGCAACATCCCGCCGCAGCTCTGGTGGCTCTTTCCAAAGACGATGAAGTCGTCGCACGACTCGGCCGACTTTCTCAAGGCGGAGAGACGCCCCGACGGAGGCACACACCCGACGGCCTCCGAGAGGCCTCTTGGCCGGCCTTGCTCAGGCGTACACCAAGGACCTGCTCGCGCGGAGGCGGCGGGGCGAGACGCAGGCGCTGTCCAAGTGCCCTGACCTGCTCGACTGCATGCTCGAGACGGCAGACACGCTCTCAGGCGAGAAGCCGCCAGGGCGGGTTGGTCAGGAGGGAGCGGAGCGCTACACAGCGTGCCGCGGGCTGTGCTAGGCGAGAAGCTGCCGGACGAGGTGATCGGGCATGAGCTGATGTCGTTCCTCTTCGCGGGTCAGGACTCGACCGCCGTCGCCCTCTCCTCTTTCTTCTGCTTCGTCGCGGCTAACCCCGCGGCGCAGGCCAAGCTGGTGGCCGAGATCCAAGAGGCGCTCTGTGGCGAGGCTCCGAGGAGCGGGCATGTGCACACCTCCTTCACCAGAGCGCTCCCTTCCACCCCAGGTGCTCGGCGACGAGCCGGAGGTCAAGTGGGCGCACCTCAACAAGCTCAAGTACCTCGACTGGGCCATCAAGGCGGAGACTCCCCCCCCCCCCCCCCTCTCCCCCCTCCCCTTCTCTCCCCCGCCTCGCCCGCACAACATGCACCTCTCAGCGCCCCCCCGGCCGCAGGAGACCCTCCGGCTCGTGCCGCCCGTGCCCGGTATCTTCAAGCGGAACGAGGTGGTGGAGGCGCTCAGCGCGGGCAAAGGCAAGACGCCCTTCCACCTCCCGAAGAAGACCAACCTGCTCCTCGCCTTTCTGCCCCTCCACCTCGACCCGGCGCAGGTGCCAGCCTCTCCGCCGCACACACGGACGCAGTCGGAACCGCCTCCCGGTCCCCGCCCCACCCCCGACACAAGTCTCTCCGCCTCGACCCCGCGCAGTGGGGGGACGACGCACACGAGTGGAAGCCCGAGCGGTGGGCCGAGGGCGTCCCCCACCCCTTCGCCTACGCGCCGTTCTCGCACGGGCCGCGCGCGTGCATCGGCAAGGAGTTCACGCTGACCGAGCAAAAGATCTGCGCCGTCAAGCTGCTGCAGCACTTCATCATCCAGAAGGCGGCGGGCGACTGGGCGAAGCAGCCCGGTGCGACCAAGCTCAAGGAGTCGGAGTGGCCGCACTACCCCGCTTGCTCGCCCCACTACGGCGTCGACGTGGAGTACAACCCGAAGCAGGCCTTCACCGGCATAAACATGCCTCTCGAGCTGCACCCGCGCCCGCAGCTGCACAAGCCGGAGGCGGCCAAGAAGGCGGAGGCTGCGGCGCAGCCGGCCGTCGTCTTCAGCCTCGACGAGTCGAGCCAGGGGCACGCCACGCCGCTCTCCATCCTGTACGGCTCCGACGGCGGCTCCACGACTGAGCTCGCCGAGCGCGTGATGGAGACCGCGCAGGAGCCTCGCCCCCCCCCACCGCTCAATCTTCGGCTCATCTCGGCTCATCTCGGCTCATCTCGGCTCATCTCGGCTCGGCTCGGCTCGGCTCGGCTCGGCCCGCCTCGGCTCGGCTCGGCTCATCTCGGCTCATCTCGGCTCATCTCGGCTCGGCTCGGCTCATCTCGGCTCGGCCCGCCTCGGCCCGCCTCGGCTCAGCTGCATCGGGCCATCTCCCTCAGGAGCTCGGCTTCGCCCCCACCGTCAAGCCGCTCAACGAGGCCATCGGCGACCCGGCGCTCGGCACGGACGGGCTGCTGCTCGTCCTCTCCGCGACCTACAACGGCTGCCCGCCCGCCAACGCCGGCGATTTCGTCAACTTCTGCGGCGCGGCGATCGAGAGGCACGAGAGGCCTGTGGACGCTCGCTTCGCCGTGCTCGGCTGCGGCCACTCGGATTGGGCAGACACTTTCCAGGCCCGTTCCCCCGGCGCGGTCGCGGCGCGTCGCCGACGTGTGCCTCGCTGTGAGCTGCCCTCGCGTCCCGCTAGGCGATCCCGACGCTGCTCGACGAGTCGCTCGAGAAGATCGGAGGCCACAGGCTGCTCGACCTCCACACGGCAGACTCGAAGAAGGTGCCCGGCGAGAGGCGGAGCCCGGCGAGAGGCACTGGCCTGACGCGCTGACCCCGAGATTGCGCCCTGTGCAAGGCGCCCGAGGAGGACTTCGTGGCGTGGACCGCCAAGCTGTGGCCCGCGCTGGCAGCGGCCGCCGGCATCAAGCTCTCGCAGCGTGCGGGGTGAGGCGCGCTAGATTTCCGAAATAGCCGAGATCGAGCGCTCCTTCCGAGATGTTGCGCACCGGCCCCACGCTGCCCGCGCCCTTGCGTACCGGCCCCCCTGCCCACGCCGCGCATCACCACAACCCACCCGCCCCTCCCCGCACCGGCTGCAGGTCGGCTGCGAGCCGGCCACCCCTCGCCATCCCGGAGGTGTCGGTGGTGCCGGCCGAGGAAGAGGGGCACCTCTCGGAGACGCCGCTCGTGCTCCCCTTCCAGCGGGACGGCGAGTGGGTGCTCGCAAAGGTCGCCGAGAAGAGCGAGCTGACACCAAACGACCCGGACGGCACCTCGACTGTTTGCCTCGCCCTCGAGGCTGCCGTCCACCCGTCCGGCGACGCACCGCTGCGCTACGCGGCTGGCGACCACCTCATGGTGATGGCGGAGAACGCCCCGGCGCTTGTGGCGACCCTCCTCAAGCGGATGGGACTCGACAGCAGCACGCTCGTCACCTTTCCGCGCGGCTTCTCCGCCAATGGCGCCAACGGCGGCGGCGGCGGCGGCGGCGGCGGCGGTGGCGGTGACGCATCCCATCCGAAGCTTGGCCGCTCGCTCTCGGGGCGGCTGAGCGGCGCCAGTGCGGGAGCGCCGTCGCCGCTGACCGGGAAGCCGCGCGCCGTCTCGCTCGAGGCGTTGCTGCTGCGCTCGGTCGACCTCGTGCGGCCGTGCTCGGCAGCGGCGCTGAAGCTCCTTGCCGATCGCGCGACGGACGAGGACGACCGCACGCAGCTGAGCATGGTCGACCTGGTGGCGACCAAGGCGACGGTCCTCGAGCTGCTCATGTCGGCCAAGTCGGTCAGCCTCTCCGTCGCCGAGCTGCTCGCCTGCCTCGCGCAGATGAAGCCGCGCTACTACTCCATCTCGTCATCGCCCAACGCAAAGGGGGGCTCCGCCGGCCGCGCCACCATCACCGTCGGCGTTGTCGACGCCATCTCGCCCACCGGTCGCAAGCACCGCGGCGTGGCGTCCAACTACCTCAAGAAGCGCTCGGTGGGGGACCTCGTCTGGGTGCGCACCAAGAGCGTCGGCCTCTCCTTCCGCCCGCCGCCGCCCAACTCGCCCGCCATCATGGTCTGCGCCGGCACCGGCCTCGCCCCCTTTGTGGGGTTCCTCGAGGACATGGCGGCGGGCGCTGCGGGCGGCAGCGGCACCTCGCACCTCTTCTTCGGGTGCCGCCGGCCCGAGCGGCACCTGCACCGCGAGCGGCTCGAGGGCTACGTCTCGGATGGCACCCTCGCCGCGCTGCACGTCGCCTACTCGCGCACCGGCGAGCGCATCTACGTGCAGGAGCTCATCAAGCGCGAGGCTAAGACGCTGTGGCCGCTCCTGCAGGGCAAGGCCCGCGTGTACGTGTGTGGCGACGCGGCACGTATGGCGCCCGACGTCAAGCGGGCCCTCAAGGCGGTCTGCAGCAGCGCGGGCGGCCTCACGGAGCAGAAGGCCAGCGCGTACATCGACCAGCTCTGCGCCGTCGGCCCCAATCAGCGCTACTTCGAGGACGTCTGGGCGAGCGGCGCTTGAGGGGGTGGCGTGATCTGCGACGCCCCTGCGCCGGCGCCGGCGCCGCGGACAGTCGAGCAGTTGCGCGTGGCGGCGAGATGTGAGCAGCAGAGGCCCATAACCGGGCGGAGAGCGGAGGAGAGTCAGCAGTGCTGAGGGCGGCAGCGAACCGCCGGGGCCGCGTCGCGTTCCTCGGAGACAGACGCACGCTTTCTCTTTTCTACACCGTACAAATCTACAGAACTACACCGTTCAAAACCTAAAAAAGAAAAAAAAGCGTGCGAGAAATCCGGTCTCTTTAGAGAGCAAGAAGAAAAACACGTGCTCGCTCCCGTGCGCCGGCCTCGCCTTTTTGGGAGGCTTCGCGGTACTGTATGTGTGGACCTTCGGCCGGTCTAAAAGATGGTCCGTAAGATGAGGCTTCGCGGTGACGCGTATATATGAATATGTGTGGACCTTCAGCGCCGGTTATGTACTGACTACATTACAATGATGGTCCGCACGGTATGTGTGCGGTGATACCGGGCCACAGCGCACAGGCACATATGGATTCGACCAACACGGAAATGCGTTTTACATTTTACAGAAGGGCATCGTCCGCATCCCGGCGCGCTAAACGCTGAAATCGCTCATGTCATCTGCGACAGGGCGAGCGCCCCAGCCCCAAGGCATGCGCCCGACAAGGGGATGGCACTGCTGCGTCGGGACTCGGTACGCCCGAGGACGAGCACCTCCAGTGACTTCAGAGGGGCCAAGGCGAGGGAGACGTCGGTTGTTTGTCCGAGAGGAGGCGGCAAACGTCGCAGCGCGCAATCTATCTCGACTCGGTGGAGGCTCCGGCGCCCATGCGGAACGACCCAACGATCTCGCCTTTCTACTAGCACATGTACACCCCACTACTGGTACTCGTGGTGGTGAGATCTGTCCGATGGTACTTCATGTCAAAAACGTTTTTTTTTGACAGCCACAACATTGCACACCGATATGCCCTCCATGGAGCGACTCCTCGAGCTCCGCGCCGCGGCGTTTGCTGACGACGTCGAGGTTCACGCCGCAATGCTCTCGTGGGACGAGGAGAGGCTGAGCACCTACTTTGAGTCTGGCGGGAAGGCCTCGGCGCCGCCGCCGCCCCAGCGCAGCCTTCGCGTGCTCTCGCTGCACGGCGGCGGCGGCAACCGCAACGTCAACGCGATGCAGGTCTCACGACTCAGGCGCGCGCTCGGCCCGCCCGACGTGGTGCATTTTGACTTCTTGGAAGGCGACCACGCGTGGAAGAGCGAGAACATCGACCCGCGGTTGGTGCAGCTCTTTGGACCGGGGCCGTACTGGGGCTGGTACGGCGTTGAGAATGCGAGCGGGCATGGGCAGAATGACCGCGATGCCTACGTCAAAGCGATGATGGACCCGGCGGTGGCGTTCGAGTACATCGGGTACGAGGCTGCGCTGGACCGGCTCGAGCGGCACATCTCGGAGCACGGCCCGTACGACGCTCTCGTCGGCTTCTCTCAGGGGGCGATCATGGTCACCATGCTCACCGCCCGGGCGCTGCAGCGAGTCGCGCGCGGCGAGGGCGCGCCGCCGGCGTGGGCGTGCAACGTGCTGCTCTCAGCGCTGCCGCCGCGCGCCTCGCCTTATGCAACAGTTGCTCCTCGGTGGAGAGCGACGCGCGAATTTCCGGTGAGCGCGTGCCGCGGTTGCGCCATAGGCGCCCATCTTCCCGCCGGGCGGTTCGCCGCTGCACGCCTCGCCTCCGATCGCGCGGCTGCCCGCCATCGCGTGCATGGGGAGGCAGGACCCGTTCGCGCCATACGGGCGGCAGGGCCTCGGCTCCATCTATGGCGCGCTGGAGTGGTTCGAGCACGGCGGCGGGCACGAGACAGCAAAGGAGGCCGAGGTGAACAGCGAGGTGGCGGAAGCCATCTGGCGTGCCGTCGAGGAGCACCGGAGTTCACCGGGGTGACTGTTTGGCACAGTAGACCCCCTCAGACATAGACATCTATCAACAAGCAACCAGGAAGGAATCCGGCAAGACCAGAAGAAGAAAGAAAACGGCCGCCCAAACCGCGAGGCCGAGGGATGGGACTGGACACCAAACAAGGGGTGGGAGAAGACAGGGTCCCCACCTGCACGAGCAGGATTTTGGAAGGACGATCAGGGACACAGGGGAACGGAAGTGGGGAGCGCATCAGCAGGTTTTCTTCTTTTGACGCCTCTCAGGGCTGCGGGCAGCTTTGGCAGGGATCCTACTAGCTCGTCGGGATTCGACAGATGCGTTCTTCACTGCTGACTGTTGCTGCCGCCGTCTCATCCGCGGCCCACATTTTCCAGCGGCAGCCCACGATTCAACTCGTGAATGCGCGCCGTTCCGCGGTGCCGCTCCCCGCCATCCCGCAGCTGCCGAGACTGCTCCGCCCACCGCGGCTCTCCGCTGGCGAAGCGGACGATGAGATTGCGGCGCTGGAGGCGAAGCTGGCCGAGGCCAAGCGCGCAAAGGAGGAAGCAGAGCGCGCGAGGCTGCGCGAGGAGGCCGAGGTTCGCCGGGCCGCTGCGGAGCTGTCGGGAGATCTGGACGAGGGCTTCGACTTCAACACGCTCTCGTCGCGAAAAAAGGTGGCGGACCCGCCGCTGCCGCCTCTCTCCTCTCTGCACCCTCTCTCCTCCCCCGTGCCTCCTCGCACCCGCCTGCCACGGCGCCTCACCTGCCTGCCTCCTGCCCTCACCGCTGCCCTCACCGCTGCCCTCACCGCTGCCCTCAACCGCTGCCCTCGTGCCACACACTAGGTGGCGGCGGTCAAGGCGCCGCCGCCGCCCGAGTTCCTGAGCGAGTCGTGGAAAGAGGAGGTGAGACGCCGAGACCTTTCCGAGACACGTCCAGCCACACGAACTGTGCGACTCACTCTCACCCTCCACACTCCACACTCCCTCTCGCTGCCTGTGCCGCCCCTTCCCGCCCCGTTGCCGCCGCCCGCCGCGGCCCGGCGACCACGCCGCCGCCCCTTGCCGTGTGTGCGCAGGAGGCGGGCGAGGGCGGCGGCCTCGCGCTCGTCAACCTGGCGGGCGGCGGCGGCTGCTTGGCGCCCTTCCCGGAACCTTCCTCGAGCCGTCCTCGCGCCGTCTCTAGGCGGGCGGGGCAGCGCTCGTGCTGGGGCTGATCGCGTTTTCGCAGGTTGTGTAGCCAGCCGCGACCCCACCGTCTTCGCCGCCCAACTCGCAACCGATGCGCACCACGACACGCCCACGACCCGCACACGGCAAGCGCACGACACGTCTGCCGATGCGTCCGTCCACCACTGCACTGCCTCGTCCGCAGGTGCCGGTGGGCAGCAACCTCGACCTGGCGACGTACGGCGGCGGCACCGTGGCGGTGGAGTCGCCGGAGCAGATAAGGCAGCGTTACGGCGAGGTGGCCGGCGACGAGTGACCGTCTGATGAGGGCGCGCCGCTGTAGAGGGGGGGGGGGGGGGTCCGCGTCGCGGTGGATTTGTCAAAATACCAGAAGGAAGAATACCGCTGGAAAAGAAAGCGTCCGCCCGGTGTGAAGCAAGTCGTCACGCGGCCAGCTCTGAAGGTCAGCTCTCTCGTGCTGCCAGCGCTCCACGCCGCGGCGAAACACGGGCGCTCGGGGTCCGACGGCGCATCACAACACCGCACACGCATCGCTCCGGCGACGCTCCTTCTGCGAAACCCCACGCCAGCACTGCGCCCCCTTGGTCGCCGGGTTCTGCATATGCCGGCATGGACGGCGGCACAGCGGCCCCAGTCGTGGCCCACGCCGTCTGCCCTTGGCGGATCCATCTCCCCATCCTGCCGTCGCCTGTCCCTCCGGCCACGGGCGGCCGGGACGCGCGGCGACTCGATGAAGCCACGCCCGCCGCCCGCGACGCCTTGCCCCACCTTGTGCCTATCGCAGCTGATGGCCGGGAGACCCTGCGCCACCCGGGCCATATCTCCTTGCTCTCTGTGGCCTCGTGGCTCTCCTCCCTCCCCCCCTCTCACCGCCCCTCGCCCCCCTCCCGCTCGCCCCGCGCAGTCGCCGCAGCCGCAGCAGCAATGAAGGTCAAGGTGCACGAGCTGCGGACAAAGACCAAGGCGCCCGCCTCGCCCCTCGCTGCTCGGCTCCTCGCGCACCGCTTCGCTGCCTGTGCTGCGCCCGCCCCGCCTCGCTGCACCGCGCTGTCTCACCGCCGTCCTTCCGCCCCCGTCCCTCCTCCGTCAAGGCGGACCTGACAAAGCAGCTCGACGAGCTCAAGTCGGAGCTCGCCACCCTGCGCGTCGCCAAGGTGACCGGCGGCGCTGCGTCCAAGCTGTCAAAGATGTGAGTGCCCGCACGGCCCCGGCGATGTGCATGCGGGGGCATGGGCAGCCTGAGAGGGAGGGGGGGGGGGGGGGTTGCGCGCGTGTGTGTGTGGATGGTGGGACTGCGGGGGGGAAAACAGCGGCCGGCGTGCAAAGTCTCTGGCCTCGAGGAGGCATGCTTCTGGGTGATGGAAGGGGGGAGTGGAAAAAGGGAGGCCTCCCGGCATGCAGGCGGCCCCGGGGTTTTTCCCCCCCCCCCCCCTTCCCCTTACCCCCTTCTCCCTTTTTGCCCCGCAGCAAGTTTGTCCGCAAGTCAATCGGGGGGGGGCTCCCCGTCATGAACCAGGCAAAGAAGGGCCAGCTGGGGATTTTTTAAAAGGGTTCCTGGCCCCCCCCCCCCCCCCCCTCTCTCCATCACCCCACACACCCCGCAAACGCTGCCCCCAAACGCTGTGCGCGATGCTCGCCCCACCCCACCCCACCCCATCTCACCCCCGCCCGCCGCCCGCCGCAGGACAAAGACCTCGTCCCGCTCGACCTGCGCAAGAAGCAGACGCGCGCGATCCGCAGGGCCCTCACCAAGAAGGAGGCGGGCATGAAGACCAAAAAGCAGCAGAAGAAGGACAAGCACTTTCCGCAGCGGCGGTACGCCGTCAAGGCGTGAGCTTAACAGGTGCCGGTTGGGGCATGCGTATCCGTCTATCTTGCAGTGAGGTGTGTCTTCCGCGTTTAAGCTTTAACAACTAGAACATCATTTGACACATTTCGTGTTTTATTTAGCAGAGATGACTGTTTTGATTGTGTGTGAAAAATCTCACACGTACATCTACACATGCCTACATCGCGGACGAGCAAGAAGTGTGCGGATGGGGGCGCAAGAGAGCACCTTCGAGACACACAAGAATACAACAGGCGAGGTCAGGGCGTGTACTACTACAGACATAACAAGGCACAGACAAACGTGCACGAAGAGCGCAACGTATCAACACGCACGTATGTGTGCACACACCCACACACACACGGGGAGGTCGCTCACCCCTCGACGCCAACGCCGCCGTGGGCCGGGTTCCGCAGAGCGTACGCCGCGAGGGAGGCCGTGGCGGTACCGCACGGCTGCGTGTGCGTGGAGGCTTCAGAGGTGGCGGCGGAGGTGGCAGAGTCAGCGACGGGCGACATCTCGCCCCTCTCGACCTCGATGGACAGTCTTTGCAACCCGCAGTCTGTGCTGGCGCGGCCCGAGGGAGCGGGCGCCACACTAGTTCGGCGCGAGCTGGCGGCTGGGTTCTCGAGCCGCGGCAGCAGCGCGCCTAGGGCGCGCGAGGGTTGGTCGGTGAGACGCGATCTGGAGCGGGAGCGAACTGTGGTGGTGGTGGTGGTGGTGGTGGTGGGGGGGGGGGGGGGGGGCCCCAAAATGCGGCCGGAGGCACGGGTCGTAGGCGCAGCAGACGCGGATCGTCGCCTCGAAGTCGTGGCCAGTAGGCACCTCAGGGCGGCGGTGACCGGCGGCCACTCCGGCAACGATCGAGGTGAAGGTGTCGCCGTCCTCGTAGGGCCTCATGCCGTACTCGAAGCAGGCGAGGAGGCAACCAAAGGCCCACAAGTCGACGCGGTGGTCGTAGCGCCTGCTCGAGAGTGGCCGGCGTGTGGCCTAGGTCTGGCCGAGGTCTGGCCGAGATGTCTCCGTGGCGTGGCGCCGGTGCAGCAGCAGCTCCGGCGCCGAGAAGAGTGGCGTCCCCGCCTGCGACATGGTCGCGTCGCCCCGCAACTCTGTCGAGAGGCCTATTCCGATCGCGTCGCGCGCCTGTGGCACTCACGTCACGCTCTGCAGCGACGTCGCGTAGGTCGAGACGCCAAAGTCGGCGATCTTTGGCGCGAGGCTGGCGTCGAGGAGCACGTTGTCGGGCTTCAGGTCGCGGTGCGCGATCGGCGGGGCCTGCGAGTGCAGGTACTGCATGCCCCGCGCGATGCCGACGGCGACCCGGCGGCGCAGCTCGGTCGGCATCGCCTCGCGGGTGGCGCGGTCTTTGAGCCGCGCCGCGAGCGTGCCCTGCGCGCAGTACTCGAGCACGAGGAAGACGGCGGCGTCACCGATGTCCCATGAGCCGCCGAGCAGCTGCACGATGTTCGGGTGGCGCAAGTTGAGCTGCAGCTCGCACTCGCGCTTGAAGGCGCGCAGCTGCGCCTCGCCGATGAGGTTGCGGTTGAGCTGCTTGACGGCCACTGGCGTGCCACGCCACGTCGCCCGCCGCACGTGGCCGTAGGTGCCGCTCCCGATGAGCTCGGCGATCCTCAGCTCTGGGGAGGGGAGGAGGGAGTGGGAGTTGGGGGAGGCACGGGGGTTGGGGGAGGCGCGATCGCGTGGTGGGTTGGGGGAGGCGCGCTGGGCGGTGCTGGCGGAGGCGCTGGCGGAGGCGGTGGTTTCACGCCGCTCACCGCCGGCATCGACCCGTATCCGCTTCATCCCCTCCGAGAGGCGAGAGTTGTGCAGCTCCGCCTGCAGCGCCGCGCGCTGCGCACCCGTCACCTCGATCTCCCTCGAGAGCTTGGCCTATTGCGGCGAGCGTGAGAGGACTGGTGAGAGCGCGACGCGCCGTCGATCTCGCGCCGACAGCTCGGGGCCTCGGTGACTCGCGCGAGGCGCAGCTCGGCCGCCGCAGAGAGAGCGCGCCTACGGCAATCCCGTCACGCTCACCGCAATCCTGTCACGCCTCGGCCCACCAGCCCCGCAGTGCGCCGCCGCTGGCAGTGCAGAGCGCCACTCACGGCGGCGACGGCGCAGATGGCGAGGCTGGCCGCGCAAGCGACGGCGATGATCTCGACCCTCCTGCCGCCGCCCGCGTCCGCGCCATCCCCAGCGAAGCGCGCCGAGCCCTCGTCGGCGCCAGGGGGCGAGGGCGCCACGACAGCGTGCATGGAGGCGGCACACGACGATGTCAAGGCCGCCGCGCTGCCCAAGCCCTCTACAGGGGCGGCCAGGCTGAGGTCTTGGCACGCGCGGTACTCCCAGCCCGGTAGTTGCACAGCCGCCGAGAGAGCCGTCACCCCGCCCTCGGCGGCCGACGCGTTGACCTCGATGCTCTCGGCGTGCGGGAAGACGCGCGAGAGCAGCGCCTGGTAGCTGCCGCTGAGGCCACCCGCCCCCTCCCCTCCCTCCGCCCCCGCCTCCGAGCCGCCTCTGCCGAGGCTCAGGGAGTGGCGCAGCAGTGTCCTCCGCACGACGTCACCGCCGGCGGACAGCTGCGCGTCGCGCGGCGGGAGATTTCCGTCCCGCCACTCGATGGGGCGCGAGAGGTGCAGGCCGCCGCTGCCGAGCCGTCCGACCGAGGCAGGCCCCGACTGCTGGAAGTTGGTGAGGCGGAAGGAGGAGGAGTGCTCCGCGCGGTCGCCGAGGCGGTCAAACTCGACGAGGCCGCTCGCGCCTAGCGGACGTGTCGAGGGCGTGTCATGAGCACCTCGCGCCTCGTCGGGGAGGGGCGGGGTGGATCGCGCCGTCGAGGCGCAGTGCAAGCAGCTCTCGGAGGACCGCAGTGCCTATGAAAAGAGGTGGAGGAGGTGGAGGGGGGAAGGGGAGATGAGGGTATGGAGTACGTGCGGGGCGCCGCTGTGAGGTGGCCCTGCCCTCGCCAGCGCCACGGCGAGCGAGATGACGGCGTCGTAGAGGTAGGCAGCCACTGCGGGCAGGAGTGGCGGCGCGGCAAATGCGGCGGGCTCGTCGAAGAGCGGGTTCCGGCACGCGCCCGTTGGCTGCGCGCCCTCCGCTTGCCACGCGCGCAGGAAGCGGCCGTGGCTCTCGGACCCCTCGGCCGACGCAGCGAGCGAGAGCGACCCCCGCAGCAGCTCGGAGAGGGGTGTAATCCCCTCCAGCTGCTGAGCCACGGCTTGCTCGCTCAAGGCGGCGGGGCTCACACCGTCGGCAAACAGCCATGCAGTGCCTGCCCCGAGCGCTCCGCAGTCTCGCGCACTGCGCAGCAACGGCCCAGCGGCAGCATCGCCCATCACGCCAATCACGACCGAAGCGCCTGAGTCGGTCAGCTCCCGCACTGCCAGCGCACGTGAGGCCGGACTGGCGGCGTCGAAGGTGCTCGACGCGATCACCGTCACATTCTCTCGGCGGGCGCTCTCCAGGAAGGAGGAGACAAACGACTCGGCCCACAGAGTCTGCTCTGCAATGACCGCCACATGCCGCCACGCAAAGGTGCGGACGAGGCGGGCCATCGCGGCCGTCGCTGCCGCGTCAGACGGGACTGTGCGCGCAAAGTGAGAGTTGGAGGCGCGTCTCAGCGTCGTAGAGGTGGAGCGGTACCCGACGAGCGCTGTGTCGGTCGCTTTTGCCAGAGCGACAAGCTGTGATGTTACGCCAGAGGAGCCGCCGCCCACAAGCGCCGAGACGTCGCTGTGAAGGAACGCAGCGACGGCGGAAAAGGCCGCCGAGCCGGTGTCCAAAACCTGCAGCTCAAACGATTGGTTGGCGGTGAGTGACGCGAGGCCCGGCACCACGCTCTCATCGCCACGCAGAATGTGGTGGCTCGCGAGGAGGCTGGAGCACGCAAGCTGGCGATAGGCCAGACCGCGGTCGACGCCTCCCCTCGTGAGAGATACGAGAGCTCCAACGGCAACCATTGGGCGGCGCGGCAATAGCAAGCTGCCGCCGGCGGCCAAGGATGGGATAACAGTGCTTCAGCTGTGTTTTAGAATTTAAACAAAACAACTCTCTCTCACAGCAGACAGGCTCGACACAGGTGCGAACTGGCGCGTGCTAGTACTATAAGAATTTACTTTCCGGGATAAAAAAATATTTCTCAAACGAGAGCGGAACGCACGGCTAGCGCATCACACCCCTCTCCTTAAAATCCCTGTGTGGTGGCGGCGTGCCGTCCTCCCATCCCTCCCTTGGGTTGTCTGTTTTCTTTCTTTCTTTATGATGCATCCCTCCCTGCGCGTGTGTTTTCTTCTCTTTCTTTCTTTACAACGCACTCTCTCACGTGACAAGCGATCCCACGACAGCGATTGTGGACTACATGATCCGTACGTGAATGAAGGGTGGAGGGGCCCGTCCGCCGAGCTAGGCGGCGTGGGCGCCCTCCCTTGGTGGCCGCAGCGTAAGTGGTAAGAAGCCGTGTGCCGTTTGCTTGTTCGTGACCCAGTTTGGCCCGCTCAGGGGAGTTGAGCCAGTTGGTACGCGTCTTGCGCGCCTGCTTGTTGATGTTTTCGGCGTCGCCCGCCACCGCCGCCATGGAGATCTGCTGCGTGTGGTGGACAAAGGCTGCAAGGCGCGCGGGCAGCCCGGCCCACCCTTCGACCACAAGAACGGCCACGGCTACGTCAAGGCGCATCGCGGTTTCTACCACGACGCGATCTTTGTCAAGCGCAACAACTTCAACCTGCTGCTCCACGAGACGTTCGGCGGCGGCTTCTCGCCCACCGCCGTTCTCAAGCTGCGCCGCCTCGCGCGCAAAGTCGCGCGCGGCAGCGTCGACCGCACGGCCTACTCGCCCAAGTACTCGCTCTCTTTTATGTCCCACCATGCAGAGCGCATCTCTCTCTCTGTTGTGCGAGGCGTGAACCGCGCCATTCGCTCTCACCTGGCAACCCTGTCTGCACGTCTTGCGCGCGTCGTCTTTTTTTCCTTTTCGAAAGGATAAAAAATAATTGTTGCTCGGATGGTGGACGCGTCCAGTCGCTCACGGACGAGTTCTGATATGATCAAGACCAAGGTGGCGATGGAGCCGGCGGCCGTCACACGATCCAAGTCTGCGCCATCCAGGACAACGAGCACGGCGACGAAGCCTCCTGCGATGCCCGATAAGGTGTGTCCGATATGCTGCACTGCCACAGCGAAACTGGTTGCCAGCGCGCCCGCTTGCGCGTGCCACGCGTGCCACGCGTGCGTCGAGAGGTGGGTTGCGATGCAGCTTCCTGCATGCCGCGCCAAGAAGCAGCTTCGCGTTAAGTGCTTCGGCTGCGCAAAGATGATGTCCCAGCGAACCGTGCTGGAAAACAGCGCCGCGGCTGCCGACCTCGCTTGTCAGCTCGAGCGGCGCGAGATCCTACAACGCAACGATCTATATCCTGAGTCCGTGCAGGTGTGGGTAGAGTCCCACCGACACGACACCTCTCACCCGCACCGCCACGCCCACGCCCACGCCCACGGTTCGCCCATCACAGGTCGAGTGCCGCCGCGCCGAGTGTGTGGGTATTGGCTATCTTGGCCACGCGACGATCATGTGCATGATTTGCGAGGAGCAGTGGTCCGCGGAGGAGATGGTGGTGCACGCTGCCATAGCGTTGGACATGCAGGAGGTGGCGAAGCTCAGCAGCGGCGAGCTCGCTTCGATCAAGGTCGGGCCATCCCTCACCATAACGGTGCGAAAGTGCCCCAAGTGCGACATCGTCACGGAAAAGAATGGCGGCTGCGACCACATGCGCTGCGCTAGGTGCAGCCACGAGTACTACTGGTCGACGGGCAAGGCCTACCACTGAGCGCTGGCCGTATTTCTACCTGTGTGGTGGTGCGGATCGCGAACCGCAACGCGCGTAGGAATAAAAGGTTATACAAGTATTGTCTCTGTGCTCTGTTACAACAACTTCTTCATCGTTCGCAATACGGATCACCGCCCGTGGACTAAAAATGCCCTTCTCGAGTAGCTCGTTCTCGTTGTTTCCATGGACCATATGTGCCGAGATCGAGAGCGAGACTTCTCGCGCACCCTCTCGCTGATATTTTGCTGGCTCTCGGAGGTCGGCGCACACGGTAGCCCTACTCGAGTAACTCACGTAGAGAGACTCCGCGCACGTAGGTTGCACTGCTTTATCGCACGGGTCTTAGTCACCGAGAGACTCAAAGAATGTACCGACGGAGAGGCCATTATCCGACGCACGCGGCCGTTGGGGGGTGTCCGCAAAAAAATCATTCCTCATTACTCATGCTACATAAATAGGTACTGAGCTGTCAACCCACACGCATGCCACTGTCCCGCACACATGGCCACACATCACTTAAATTAAGTGCAGCTCTCCCCGACAGTCCCGCACGCCCACCAAACGGGCCATTATACCCGCCTTTAACTCCGGAAGCACCCTCAGGTATCCGTCCGATACTCGGGGTAGTCATTAGGCGGTTGAGGTGGGGCGGCTACAGCGCGGCTGGGACTGGAGCGAGGCGCTGAAGGGCTCACGACAAAGAGCATCTCAAGTCTGACTCCTCGCATGCGCAGCGCGACAGCTCAATGAGGCAGTGCAAAGCGGACGGTGGCGGCGCCGCCCACGTCGCGAGCGGATGAGAAGACGCGCGGGCAGGCAGCGGCGGCGAGGCGGGAGGCGTGCATTCAGAGGAGGACCTCGGTGCCCCAACAGTCCCTCTGACAGCCTTTGCCTTCCCCCCCAACTCGAAAGCCGGAGCCCGCTTGCTCGCGGGCGAGGAGGTTGCGGATGGATTCACAGGCGAAGTTGCGAGGGCAAGGAGAAGAGCGGCGTCCGACTTCTTTGAATGCAGCTGCGACCTTCCTCCCGCGCTTCTCGAGACTGACCGGCGTGGGCACGTCCTGCTTTTGTGGCCGGTAACACCGCAGACAGAGCAGCGCTGAGGGCGATTTTTCCTGCTGCTCGCGCTGGTAGACGCCGATCGGCCGGAATCTGTCGATGCTGGGCTGGGATCGCGGCCGATGGCCTCCGCTCCCGTCAACATCGCGCTCAAGATCTCGAGCTCACGCCTTTGGGCGGGAAGGAGCTGCCGCCCCCGATACTTCGGTCGTGCGTCCTCCTTATCCCGCCTAACTTTAAACTTGGCGGGCAACGAGAGAACTTCGAGAAATCAAGCGAGGTCCCTGTCTGCAGTCGCACTGCTGCCAATTCGTTTTTGAGACGTGGCATTCATCGAGGCGCGCCCGTCTCTCCCGTGAGACAGTGAAACAACAACAAAATCTATCTCTCTCGCTCCGGGTTCCAACTTTTTGCGGGGTATGGTATGGTAGGGTCGCGGCCCAAAGGGTGGGGAGGTATGGTCCTGACCGCCCAAGACTAGCCCTCGACAGGGGTGGGGGGGTATGGTCCCTCCGGCCCCTCCCTCTACAGCCGCCGCCGAGCCCGCAGCGCCATGAGGTAGGAGCACGCGCCCGTGTCGCGGAGCTGCTGCAGCTGCTCCACGCTCCACTCGCCGACACCCTTCTGGTTGCGGAGCGCCTCAATGTACTACAAGTCCCCCGAGATTGCGCCGCTGGCGCAGCCGGCCAACCCGCTCGAGGCGACCACGGCGAGGCGACCACCGGAGCGGGGGCACCCACTGGAGGGGGGGCACCCGCCGGCACGGCGATGCCGATGGATGACCTCGCCGGTGCGGTGGCCCGCGGGGCGGCCGGCGCGGCGGCCATCGGAGCCGCCCGCGCCCGGGGGACGGCCAGCGCGGCGCCTGCTGGTGCAGGTGCGGGCCGGCGACCGGCGCGGATGCCGCGCCCGCCGCTCGCCAGGCGATTGCCAACTTCGCCGCCGCGCTCTTCTAGACGAGCACCGGCCGGTGCTGGCGTGGAAGACGGCGGCCATCCGCGCGTATCTAGTGTGCGTGTCGGTGTCTGCAGGACTGCAGCCTCCTCTCTGGTACCTGGACTCCTGGAGCCTAGCAGTAAGGCGGCCGGCGGTGGGGCGAGGGGGTGGGGGTGGGTGGGGGGGGGGGGGGGGGTATGGTCCCGTCGGCGGGAGGCTGGGTCTGTCAGCTGGCGGGGGGGTTTGGTCTCGAGGTGGTGGTCAACCATACCACACCCCGCAAAAAGTCCGAACCCTGCCGCTCTTCGCGGGTCTTCACGGTTCTCGCTCGCCACTCTCTCCAACATGGGCGAGCGCAAGGTGCTGAATAAGTACTTCCCGCCCGACTTTGACCCCTCCAAGATCCCGCGCACCAAGAAGGCGGATCTCAACCCAAACTTTGTCGTGCGGATGATGCTTCCGATGAGCGTGCGCTGCATGACGTGTGGCGAGTACATGTACAAAGGGAAGAAGTTCAACTCGCGCAAGGAGGACGTGGAGGGGCCCGAGGGCGAGTACCTCGGCATCAAGATCTTCCGCTTCTACTTCAAGCGCGCCGCACACTCTGTCTTCCTCCGCTCTCGCCACGCAGACTCACCCATACTCACACCCGCGCTCACGCTCACGCTCACGCTCACGCGCATGCACGAGCACGAGCACGCACCACCGCGGGCACACGCGTCGCTGCGCAAGGGCTGCTCACGCCCGCGACGCGTCCCGTTCACCCGCCGCCGCCGCCGCGCTCAGGTGCATCACCTGCTCGGCCGAGTTCACGATCAAGACGGACCCAAAGAACATGGACTACGCGGTGGAGGGGGGCGCCAAGGCCAACTTCGTCCCGTATAAGGACGAGGAGAAGCAGCGGCAGGAGCAGCTCGACGCGCGAGAGGCGCGGGACACTTCCGAGACACCTCCAGCCCTCTCTCCCATCCGGCACCGCTTTGCGCTGGGCGCACGGATGAGACGCCGCTCGCACCTCTCCTCAGGCGAGCGAGAAGGACGACACGATGGCGCAGGTGCCTCCCCAGAAGATTCCGCCACCGCCGTGAGCTGCCACCCCGCCCACCCGCCCCCCCCCCCCCCCTTCCGCGCGCAGCTCGAAAACAAGACCAAGGACTCCAAGATGGAGATGGACATCCTCGACGGGCTTGACGACATACGCTCGCAGAACGCGCGCCTCTGTGTAGACGCTCCCGACTCACCTCCTAGTCGCACCCTACACCCTCCCCACTCGTCGCCTCCGCGAGGAGGGCCGGAGCCTTCTCGGAGCCTTCCCAGAGCCTTCCCGGAACCTTCTCGGAACCTTCCGGCAGGCGCGCGTCGCACGGCTCGAGATGGACGACGTCATCGGCCGCCACCGCGCAGAGACCGAGCGGCTGCAGGTAGTGCTCCACCACCCCGCCCCACTACCCCCGCCCCACCACCCCGCCCCACTACCCCCGCCCCACCACCCCGCCCCACCACCCCGCCCCACTACCACCACCCCACCACCCCGCCACCCATCACACCACACTCCCACCGCCGCCCCCCATCAACCACTCCAGCCACCTCCCCGCCAGCCATCCCCTGCCTTGGCACACACATGCTCACCTGCCCCCCCCCCCCCCAACAATCCCAACCCAAATCT